AAAGGGAACTCCCCACCCCCACTCATGCTTTTCAGTTCTATACTGTACAGTATTTTTAAATTTATCTGCATATTACCCTTTATTTAAATCAGGCCTAATGCACACATGAACAGCTATATGGTTAAAATAACTTTTGTAGACAATATAACATTAGTTATTTCCTTTTTCCCTCTGTATATTAGAATCCAGGATCATACTTGTGAACTGCTTGGGAACTATGAGTTTATCAAGACACCTACCATCCTAACCTATGAGTTCATCGGGGGAGGGGACGCTCTCCCTTCCAGTGCCCCAATCTAACCCAAGACCCAAGACTTGCCATCTTTTCTGTCCGATAACTGTCTCAATCCTTGAATGATTCTCATCATCAATCCTGTTTATACATCAGATGTCATGTTGTTTGAATCAACCCAAGAGTAACAAAAGAGAAAAATCATAGGAAAATGAACTCATTATGTGGTGTATGTAGTTAGGAGTTAAGGCAACAGATTGAGGGGTTACAGCCATACCTGAATAAGGTGATATTAAATTACTTTTAAAAGGCTCAACAAATCCTTTGAACCCCAAATATGATATATCTTTGGAGGAAAAGAAACTTTCTACTCATCTGCTACAAAGACAGTGCTGTTTTCTAGCACAAATGCTCTCCTGCTAGAATTGCTTTGCTACACTTCTGCCAGAACATGACAGGTGACCTCCAAATAGACTTGTTGTGTTGCAGAAATGCAGCACCCACACGCTTGTTTCACAAGTAAGTTTATCATCCCTGAAAAAAAAAAAAAGAACAGGAAAGAACAGAGAGAATTAAAAAATGGTAAGAATTTGGCTTGCTGGTTTATTTCTTTTTTTAATTCATGACTTTCTGGTATCTGGTATACATACGTGTACCAGATCCATCACGGATTGCTAAAAAGATCAATCTGTCCTCACTAGAATGTACTACCAAAAGAGCAGGATGCACCAAAGAATGTTTTCAATGGATATTAAATAGCAACAAAAGTTTTAAAACAGAAAACAGAACTGAGTGAACTAAAAAAATTCATGAAGGTCTAGAAATATAATCACTCAACAGCACATGACTGAATACTCTAGGAGCAATCATGTATTTTTTTCTACAAGATAAATTATTGAACGGGGTCATGTGATTCTTAGCAGGCAGAAAGATGCACTTTCCCAAGGAAAGTTCATCATTAAATGTATTATTTAAGACTGGATCATCGTAATGCTATTTTTAATCCTATCATCTTGCTGCCAAAATTGGCCATAAGCAGCTGATGCTCAGCCACTAGAAAAATGATGCTCTTAAACATAATTTGTACACTGGCATGAGAATGGCACTGCTTTCCAGTTAATCAAATGTTTTGCTAGATGTGAGCTGCATTCAGAAAAGAGAAAACTGCTTGCTGACTTAACTAATAAAAAGGAAGCTGACCTCTATTGGGTATGGAGAAGCTCCCATCTTCCCCAAACTACCAATACTGAAAGACACCCCCCCCAAAAAAAAAAAAAGTTAAACCCACCATTTCATCAACAGAATGAAGCTCAGCTCCTACAGTCTCTGATTTGAAGCAACCCATCCTTCTCATCACGTGCATCTCACTCCCTCCTAACACATGAGGCTGAATGTCATCAGAGTTCACAGTTTGGAGGGTGCTAACAATCCTTCACCACCACATTGCCCATCTCTCAGCCCTTTGTTTACAAGAGACCCTTTGTTCTCAAAGCAATCACAGGGTCACTAAACCCATTTACAGAATTCACACACTGCTATAAGAGAATAAAATAATAACCAACAGAGCCACTAAAAGAGCTAATTTCTTGCCTTTAACTGAAATAAGAAAGCTATGTCACCTTAATAGGACCAGTGATGCCAGTACCAATTGTATAACTACCATCAAAAACCATCTTGAGAAGACTGGTCTTCTGGCAATTGACCTCCTATTTCTCCTTCATTCCAATCTATTTCTTCCTTAGGATCAGATGGCTCTAGTGAAAACTGGGAAATATTGACTATGCTCTAGACCTGGGAGACCACTGGACAGGGGCATTGCAGAATCCCTCCCAGAATGTGCTGCATCTCAAAAGATGCCCCCAGGAATCAATCAGGTAGCCAGCACCTTTGACTCTTGTGCACACAGACCACAAAGTCTGACTGACTCAGGAGCACTGGGGTGAGACCTGAGATTCTGCATCCCTAGGAAGCTCCAGTGATGCCGTGCTCTGGTCTGTGAGCCATTCTTCAGCAGCAAGGTCTTAAGACATTTTTAAAGAACTGTTGCTGTCTCACTGCTCCCTTTCCTGCTTTCTCTGGATGCCACACAATGCCTTATTCAAACTTAGGAATAAAATCACATCCCACTCTATCGCCAGCTACTTCTTTAGTCTTTACTTAATTTGTAGGCTTCTGGGATCTATCAGAGGCAAATCATTCCAAGGACTACTTCCTCCATGTTATGAAACATGGATAGCAAGCACTTCTCCTCAACCCCAGAAAGTTCTGACTGTGCAGCAGAAAAGAAAAAGTGACTTCAAATGTAAAACTTCCAAGTGTTCAGTAAAGTGTTCTTTAAATGAATTGAGCCCTGGATATAATGCAGATCATTGTCTTCTGTGAAGAAAATATGTAAGCTCTCTTCTGAAACTTTCCCATTGTTATTAAAACTACACTGCACTATGCAACATATCATTAAGGATGCAACCCTGATGGGTGCGAGTTTTAAGAAGAATCTATATGCCAAATGCCTAAAATAAAAAATTAGATTAATAACTGCTCACTTGAAATGATAAGTTAATCATCTATGACTCTCAAATACTACCAGTTTTCTACAAAAGTGTTCACATGATTGCATTTTCTGATATATACTTTTTTTTGCCAAATTCCTTTGTTTTTCTATATAGTCAACCAACCATGTGTTGTTCTGAAAACTATTATGCATTTTACCATCAGCCATTTGTGGTTCTATATGATTTATTTTTACTATAAGAGGTTTTGTCAAAAAAAAGTTTTATCGTGTTCTACAGTATGTCGTTGTGGTTTGGCATCATAAAATGTAGCCTGTACATTTATCAACCTCAGATACCTGTTGACCACAGAGATAGGCTCTCCAATGAAAACCTGATTGTGAAAGGAGAAAAAAGTGATCCTTCACTTAACAAGAAACTTCAGTTGTATGAGAGGTTAACACACTGGAACTCAAGAACAAAGGTCAAGGTTATATCTATATTTCTATCATAAACATGGCCTTGTTTTCCACCTTTTTTATTAATTTTCTTGATCGATGACAGTTACTGCCTTGGATTTTTTTCAACTAGAAAGAAAAATTTCAAATATAACTTTTTCATCAGATGAAATAGGAAAAACATTAAACCAGTTTTATTTTGGCTTTAAAATGATCCTCCTGGAGTCTGGAGGTCCCTACCTGTTTGGATACAGAAGTTAAAAATCAAACTACCTACTTTTAACTTAACAAAAATATTTTCATCCTATAGCAAATTCTGCAAGAATGTGGGATCTCAACACACAAAGGAGTCACAAAGAGCATTTAGATTTTAGAGATTTTAAGTTAGGATATTTTGGTTAAGTTTACTTTTAAACATTGTACAGTGGCATCGATGTTTTGTCAACTTTGGTCAAATAAGATCAGATGTTCCCATCAATCATCTACTTTCCTTGGCCTTTTCTCTTTTGGGCCCCTGAATATTAGTACATTTTGTAAATTGTAGTAGAAACATGTAATGTGCTTCTTGACACTTAATCCACATGCAGTTAATTCTAGACGTTTTGCTCCTGTTAGCGCCTATAAAATAATATTAGTAATTCTCCCCAGAGATTATAAAAGGAAGCACTGAATTGCACCCTTTTTCAAAGATAACTGTTCAAATTAAAACAAAGTGTCTAAAAAAAGACTTCAAACAAAAATTAATATTTTTCATAAATCATTTTAAATACAAGGTGAAGATCTTAATTACAAACCTCAAGTCTTAGGATCATGGAATAGTAGAACTGTATGCTAAAATGATGAAAGCCCTATCTACCACATTACCAGAAAAAAAAAATCTCCTCACGAATGTTCTTCAAAGCTATACATATTAATCATTTCAACTGAAGTCAGGGCATGAGAGAATCCACTGCTAAGAATCACTTTTTCTTACATAGATAGCTAGATGCAGGTTTCGGAGTTGTTTTGTTTTCTTTTTTCCAGCACAGTGGATCAACCACAGAATTATGCGGATTCTAGGTGGTGAAAAGTAAAATACCAATACACTTTTAAATCATACACGAGTTACAGAATACAAAGGGTGAGGCTGATGCTAACTCTGTTACTGATGAGACAGTGAAGCAGCCACAGCCTAGTGATCTTCCTGGCACAGGCACCATCCTGCCCACTGGGAATATGGTACTGCAGATTGGGGTCTACCAACTTCAGCGAATGCCAACCTCCTTACAGACACTGCTCAGTTTTCCAGGAAAAGGAGTTATATTGGTTTTCTCCTCTGGGAGAATTTTACCAAGTGAGTTGGAAAAGACATGCCTTTGGTCCTTTGGTGGAGTCTGTTCCTCTACTAACTGGATGGTTCTCAATTTTCAGTAGGAAGAGGAATCCACCATGCATGCTGCGAAGACCCAACCCTTGGGGTCTGGTTGATATGCAGTCCCTGAAATCTCCGACCTCAACAAGCTACTGTGATGCTGGGAACCCCTGAGCTCCCAGTTTGAGAAACACAGAAGTGAAACCATTTATCAGAAAATACTACTGGGTCAAAAATGAGCCTCGACGATTGGCAAGCAAGTCACACACTTTCAGCGGAAAGGAGTTATCACGGTCCGGTTGGCAAGGCGCACCTTGTCCAGAGGAAAAGGGAAGGGAACGAACTACAAACCCGATTTTATTCCCTGGCTCACGGCCTTCCCCTGACCGAAGTATCCACCCACCCTTCAACCAAGGTATCTCAGACCCGAGACTTCAAACCCAGACTCATTCAACCCGACGTGCACCTACCCAGCCTCCGTTATCCTGGATCCAGGTGTGCAGGTGCCGGTTCAGGTACTCAGTCATCCACAGGGCGATGTTGTCCACCAGGGGCGACATCTCCCGGTTGACGCTCTCCACACACATGACCCCACCGAACTCAAAGAAGGCCACAATCCTCCCCCAGTTCACCCCATCCCTGAAGAGCTCCTCCACCACCGTGGCAAAGCGTCCCCTTGCGGTGAAGGGCGTCAGGTGCAGCTGACTGGACATCTCGGCGAAGTCGCGACGATAGCGACGAGAGAAGTCATCGCCGGCCTGGCGGAGGGTCAGGTGGACCACAGGTGGCACCGGGCTGAGCACGGGCCCCGCGGCGGCAGCGGGGGCAGCCGGGGGTGGCGGTGGCGAGGTCCTGGCGGCCGGGTCCCGGGGCGCAGCGGGCGGGGGATGGCGCCCCGGTTGGGAAGAGAAGATGCCCGGCCCGGGGGCGGCTCCTGGGGACGCAGCGCCCACGTCTCCAGCATCCCACTCGTAGCCCCTCTGTGACAGCTTATAGTGGATGTACTTCATCACTATCTCCCGGTTATCATACCCTGTTCTCCCAGCGTGAGCCATCCTTTCTCCAAGGAAAAGCAGCCGGGTACCAACAGCACCTTTCGCCCCCGCTCCCACCCCACAGCCCCGAAAGAAAAAAGAATAGTTATAATCCAGCTATTTTATTGGATGTGCTTTGCATTCTTGGATGAGGGGGTGTCTTCAGTCACGCGGAACACTTGATTCTGGTGTTTCCCCCTTGGCATGAGATGCAGGAAATGTTTATTCAAATTCCTTTCGGATCTTTATTTCATGAGGCACATTATTATTAAGTATTGTTAATATCAGTCTACTTCCTCCGTGATGCTGAAAGGTTAGAAGGAAGAAAAAAAAAACTAGTTAAGTCAAAATCAGGTGCATTTTCCTTAATACGCTGGATGAAAGCAGGGCACACATACTACAAGTTACACGGTTAAAAAGAATGTATTAAACTACCTGGAAATTAAATTTACTCGAATGCACTCAAAGTCGAAAACCTCAAATGTGTCCATTGAAAGTTACCATTAAAGCAATATCCCGTGCAAAGAACTTACTTGTATTTTTTAAGGACAGCATGATCCTCTGTCAAGTTTCCTTTTTTGTAAAACCAAAACAAATGCATAAGGCAACGATCCCATCAATCTTCAGAACTCTCCGTTTATAGCTGCTTTAAAACTTCCAAATGAATCGGGAGTTGGGGGAGGGGATGTAAAAATCGGGAGGATTTCCAGATTGATTCCCAGACTTCGGCTTCGCAGAAATGTCAATCCGTAGGAATCCCGACCGGAGGTCTCAAGAGCACAAGGAAAAAAGGCAGCGGCGGCGGCAGATGAATTACAATTTTCAGTCCTGCATTTGCAGAAGTCCTGTGATTTTCCCCCTCTCGGCAATTTACACACGCACATACACGCGCGGGCACAGACATGGATCTCTATCCACGGGACCGCTTCACGCCTCCATGGGAGGGAGACACGGGAGGGAGACGATGGAAGAGCCGGGGACGGGGGCAGGAATCCTCTTCGGATCAAACTCCGCACAGCAAATGCATTTTCCGAAAAGCTGCTTGATAAATGAAGGCAGGACGCGCCCGGCCCGCCGGTGCCCAGCGCGAGAAGCCCGCGCGCTGTGTGTGGCGCGGTGGGGAGAAGGAGGTGGTGGGGGAGGGTTTTATTTTTTCCCTCTTTTCCTAAAAAGGATGACTGCTACGAAGTTCTCCCCCCTGGACCCCCTCTTCCGCTGCACCCCACCAGCGCACCCCGCCTCCGGGCTGCGCACCCTTTCTCCTCCTCCTGCTCCTGCGCGGCGGCGCAGGCGGCGGCCGCCTCCTCGAGCTCCCGCCGCGCAGCCCGCTCCGAGCAGTGACGGCTGCCGGCGGGGAGGGCCCGGCTCCCGGGCACCTTCGCTGGCGGCGGCGGCGACGGCTCGGTGGGGACACCGGAGCGGCGGGCGAGAGCGCGGCGGGCGGGCGCGCGGGCGGGCGGGGAGGGGGCGGGGAGGAAGGGGGCGGGCGCGGGGCGGGGGGGGCTGGCCTCTTACTTCATTCTCCTCACAAACCGCCTGGTTTCCTGTACGTACGTCACTGTTCATTCAAAAAAAAGAAGAAAGAAAGAGCCCTCCTCTGAGCCGCCCGACCGCCCCCCTCCGCCCGCTCCCTTCCCTGGTTAAAGGCGCAGCGGCCGGCCCGAAGGCGGCGCGCCCGGCCGGGGACACATGGCGCGCGGGGCCGCGGCTGGGGAGGGCGCGCTCGGAGCGGCCACCCGCCGGAGCCGCTCCGCCCGCAGGGCCCGGCCGGTGGGTGGCGCGAGCGGCGCAGGCCTCCCGTGCGGCCGCGGCGCGGTGGATGTGCGACCGGCCTCCTCGGGCCTGCGGCGGGCCTGGCGCGCGCTCGGGGGTCGCCGGGGCTCGCGGGGGGCCGGGGGGAGCCGGGCAGCCGCGCAGCGCAGAGCGGCTGCAGCTGGGCGGTTGCGCCATGAAAACAAGGGCCGGACAGCCCCGGGAATCGCTGGGTGGCTGCTGACCGTCTGTGCGTGCATGTGTATGCACACGTGTGTGTACTCACTCCGTGTGGCACCAGAGCTCTGTCGCCTGGGAGAGGAGCGGGGCCGGTGCTGACCCCCGAGGAGTGGGACCTCAGCGCTGCCCTGCGGTGAAGAGGGACGGCCGTGCACGTTGAATAAGGAATGCCGGGGAAGCACCAGGCGTCGTGTTTACTTTCAAGCCGCTTACTCTGTGTCCACGCCGAACACCCGCACGGTCCCTGGCCCCTGTCCACCTGAGCAGACCTGAGCGACCCCGGCCAGAACAAACTTCCAGGGGAGGGGATGGGAGAGGTTGTTTCGGGGCTTTAAAATAGTTGAGTGTATATTTTTCCTCTGCCCCTACACTTGGGACACTGGGTCAGGGCTGGCTACTTTAAAGCCCCGTCTTAACTGGGACGGTGGGTTTTTAACGGTCTCCACCTTGCCTGGCGGCCAATCCGAGATGGTCTCACCTTCTCAAGTGACAAACACAAGCAAATCCTTGTGCCACAACCAGACGTATTTCTTAATTCACCAGTCTAAATAGCCCCTAAGAGAAAAGGAAAAGAGGACAAACAAGTTGCATGTGTGTAACTATTTTTATCATTAAGAGTCTTTGGCAAATACAGCACCAAGGAGGGGAAAAGTGTTTAGTAAAAGCACAGCCGCAGGGCTTAAGTACAAACACATAGGCACACTGGGCTTTTGTGGTCATAGAAACATGACCAACGAGTACTACAATATGTGCGTTCCGACACCAGCTTTATTTTTTTCTCATTCCTAGTTTAAAATCAAGGCATTTATTCTTAAGAAGAAATAGCACACCACATTATTGTTATTTCTTCACCTGACATATCCTTTCAGCCATCCTGCCAACTTGTCGCATGTAGAACCCATGCCTTGCTACAATCTATTATTTGAGGGAATGAAGGGAGGCGCTGCTTCTTGCCCTTCTGATGGTTGTGAGAAGGTCCTCTTTGACTCAAGGAGAGTGGTGGGGAGGTGGTCTTGCCTGGATGTAGACACTAGGAATTGGTTGGTCTGGGATATATGTTCTCATAGAAATAGTAGAAAATATATTAATTCCATAACATTATGGTTTAGTAATCTCATACCCTTGTCTTAAACCTCCCAAATTGCTTAAGAATTCAAAGCCTTTGTACTTCTAACACCCAGCACGTGGGTGAGGAAACCAGAGGAGGGAGCTGGAAAAGAAATTGCACTTGTGCGAGGGAGGCAGCCAGAAGAAAATGGATCCCCTATTCCCAGAGAAAGGACAACTTCCTTCTCTTTCTTTGCTCCCACAGTCTCACTATATGGGTCTCCTGGACCACTTCCTTCTGTGGTATCTTGGCTATAACCAGCAGCTCAGGACAGGTCTGGGTCAGTCCTGGACTGCGTCTGGGCTGAGACTTTCCACACACATGCACCAGGGGGACCTTTCACTTTCCAAGATGGCTTCTATCTCTCAGGACCAAGGGACCACCCTTTGCCAGCTCTGTCTGGTTGGAGTCTACCAGTAGGGTGGCACCAGGGAGAAATAGCAAGATGCAGGGAATAGAGAGTGTATCAAGAGTCTGAAAGGCCTGTTTTCCTTCTTCTTTCTCCAGTATGCCAAACAAAAAGCTATTTTTTTTTTTTTGGCTAGTTTTCGCCACCTGCTGGTTGATGTTTAGAGCATTATTCAAAAAGTTCTCTTCCAGCATCAGTGTGGATGTTCCCTAAGTTTATGAAATTTTTAAAAGAACATTATTCTAATATGAACACACTAATGTTTAATATATGTATTAGATCACTACACTTTTATTTAAAATGAGGGAAGAAAGACTTTCAGAGGGAATTGATTACTAATAGAAAGATGAGTTCAAAATATAACCATTTTTGTTATTTTAGGTTAAAAACCATGACCCTGAATGAAGTGGAAAGAAATACATAAATGAAATGAACTAACTGGAGAAAACTAGAAAACTAGTAGTTCATGTAGCCTGCATTAAAAAAAATGAATTGCTTAAATAATAGCATCTCACAGGCCTGACAAGCAATTAAATGCTAGCTTCTAATTTCAAGTACCTTCTACATTGTGAACTCTTATGCTGAACAATGCATGCTCTTTCAGATGCCTTGAATACTTGGTAGCAAGCACTACATAAGCCCCAGTAATAGTGTTCCCAACCTGTTCAGGCTTAGAACCTCCTTCTAATGTAAATGATCACATCCCAGGTGTTTGCTTTGCGCTCTCAAACTCTTCTTGTAATCAGGAAATGCTTTTGTCAAATCTAAACCAACAAGCCTCAGTTTAACTTAGAAACTCACCAGATTAATTTATGGTGGGTTCTAAACCTCAAAAAGAAAGTTAGAATAATTAAACAACAAGCTTTAAAACTAGGCAACGACAACAGACACTAGTATGGCAATTTGTAAATCAATGGATGTGTAACTGATGTGAATCTGCAATCTGTGTATGGGGTGAAGGTGGGAGTTCATAACCCACTAGAATCAAAGTGTGGAATATGATATGTCAAGAAATTTGTAATGTTTTGAACAACCCACAATAAAAAATTAAAAAAAAAAAAAAAAACTAGGCAACGAATTACAAATAAATCATGCTGTGGTGCAAGTTTAACAGTGGACAAATAATGTTTATTTTTGGTTTGTAAAAGAAAGCATAGGAAATTTACTTGTGATTTTTTTTCCCTTCCAGATTAATGACTTGGCATTTAAAAGGTGAAATAAACTAAGGGTAGGAAATTGTCTTACACTTTTCAAATGCCTACTCCTGTCCTTGGATTTAAACGGCAGTCATAGAACCATCATATTTAGGCAGAAAAGGTAAAGAATTTACACTTGTGTGTGTGTGTGTGTGTGAGAGAGAGAGAGAGAGAGAGAGAGTGAGTGTGTGTGTGTGTGTTTGTGTAACAGCCCAGGAGCATTCTGCTCCTAAGTTACATCCTCAGCCCTTTTGTTATTTTGAGGCAGAGTCTTGCTAAGTTGTCTAGAATGTGAGATCCTCCTACCTTAGCCTCCTGAGTTGCTGGGATGTCAGGTATGTACCACCATACCTGGCAAAGGATTTGCATTCTTATGTGCTATAACTTTTGTTCTCTTATGCGGTCTATATTTAGCACAATTATCTCCCAGATATTGCTACTGAACTCAATTAGAAAAAAATAATCAAGGTTTTTGTTTGTTTCCTAAGACTATCTTGAGAAAGTCCCACGAACTGGATGGCTTAGAACAGAAATATATATTCTTTCACAGTTCTGGAAACTGTAAGTCCAAAATCAAGGTGTTAGTGAGGCCATGCTCTCCCTGAGACTCTAGGTAGGATCTTCCTGTCTCTTCCTGCCTTCTGGGAGTGGCTGGCAGTTCTTGATGATCCTTAGCTGGCAGCTACATCCCTCCAATCTCTGCCCATCCTGAGATGGCATTCTTCCTGTGTGTCTGCTTTGGATTCTCACCAGGCTGTCTGCCATATTGGAGGAGGACCCATCCTCATAACCTCATCTTAACTTGATTGTATCTTTACAGACCCTGAATAAGGTGACATGTTTAGGGGTGACAATTCAAGTCATATATCTAATGGGGGTATCTTTCAAATTCATGAGGATTGTTTACTCAAAGGCCTGAGGGCTGAGCAATGTTAAAACTGAATTTCAAGGGTTACCATGACCTTTCTAAAAAATCGTGATTTTTGCATTTCTGCTCAGTTCTTCCACTCCTCTGCATGGCATGATCTGGCCAAGCCTGCCCACCCTTCCCTGCCACTTTGCCCTCTCACAGGTAGGTTAACTTATGGTGGTTTCTGGAACATGCCAAGATCTCCAATATCTGTTGACTTCACACACTGACTGGTCTTCCTGAAATGCACCCAATCTTTTCACCTGATAAATTAATACTCATTCTTCAGGTCCCAGCTCAAGACCTTCTCTAAGAAAACATCCTTGACTTTCCTGGGCAGCTTTTGGAGTCCACCTGCTGGTAGATGTGGCTTGGTACAGGGACGGGTAGCTTAAAAACCACTAACCTGGGTTTAAATCCTGGCTGCACTGCTTGGCAGCTGTGACTTGGGCTAGTTACTGAACCTCTCCATCTGCTCCCTCATTCATAACACAGGGAGATAAAAATATCACTCATAGGGTTAATGTATAATTTCAGTAATTTAAAACATGTCCAGCACTCAACAGTGATGGGCATCTGTTTTCGATCTATTGTTGGTCGAGTGCAATTTCTGGCACGTTTCTGCACTAGATTTTAAGTTACTTGAAGGCAGGGACCACATTTTTCCTTGGTGGAGTCCCAGACTAGAACAGGGTGCTTGGCATTCAAATACTTCAGTCATAAAATTCAGAGGCCTCAAGCCAAAGAAAGAATGGGGAACTTGTTCCCCTTTCTCCAGCAAAACTTGTAAGCATCTAGTAGAGTTATCAGAGGGATTAAGGAAAGGAGGTGATAGAGAAACAAGAAATGAAGTCACCAGAATAAATAACAAATTTCTTGTGCAGAATTGTATCCCCAGTGTCTGGACATCCAGCTCACCATTGTTTTTTGTTTTTGGTACTAGGGACTGAATCCAGGTGTGCTTAACCACCGAGCCACATCCCCAGCCCTTTTTATTTTGTGTTTTGAAACAGGGTCTCACTAAGTTGCTTAGGGCCTTGCTAAGTTGCTGAGGCTGGCTTTGAAATTGCCATCCTCCTGCCTCAGCCTCCCGAGATGCTGGAATTATGGTTGTATGCCATCGAATCTGGCTCCCCATTGGTATTCAACAAATATGATGAATGGAGGTTATAAAATCAGAAATGAATAGAAATCAAAAAAATAATTTCTTTCTTTTTAACATCCAAACATAAAAGTTAAATAAGTGATATCATATGTCACTTATGAATAAAAATTACTCAAATTTAAAAGTTAAACTTATCAACCAAGGAGTCCAAAAAATCTCTTCTTGATGTGACAGAAAATTCTGTTTAAGAGAATATCAAGAATATTAAGGTGTGCTCTTCTTAGTATCAGTCTTGTATCATCTGCTGCTTTTTAGAGCTAGGAGATAGTTTACTGATGGAATATACAGATATAATGCAAAGTACAAAATATCTATTTTTTGTATCTGAAAAACTTACTTAGATTTTACCAAATTCCACATTTCTTGAACTTTTACTCATATACCCTGTATTAGAACCCTACAAACAGAACATGTTTGAAATAACTCAGAATACCAATCATGTACGTACTGAAAATGTCACTTTCTAAAACAAAAAATGATAAAAATCAGGCTTTGTGATAGCTTAGGATGCAAAGTCAACATAACACTATGGAAGATGTTCTTGTCTTGTTAATTAACGTGTCCTCTTAAAAAGATATCTAGGAAAATAAGTTCTCAGATTTGTAAAGCTTGTTCCTCTTTTATTTTTTTGTTGTGATTCAGAAATACAAGATATGAAAATTAGGTTACAATTTTGCCACAAAAGCTTCTAAAGTAGCCAACACAAGTTCTAAAATGTATCAAAATAGCCATGTGCTCTTTTTCAATTTAAAAACCACTATAGAGTTGTCACATCAAGCAAGTGTAAAATATAAAAGCAACTATTCTCCTCTTTGAAATATCAAATCCACAGCTACCCTGAACTGTAACGTGAACAGTGATTCCATCCACAACTGGAAGGTTATGGTCAGCAAGTACTTTTTAAAGCTGAGTTACTAAGAACTAAAGGAAATGAGAAAGATACAAAGCATTTACATCAAAAGTATGAATATTTAAAAGCGTCCCCAAGTGAGTAATACACGTTTAAATTAGAACACGATGTAATAAAATTAAATCTGATGACATAATTCAGAAAAAATTATGTACTGACCTCTTCTAGAAGGACAAAAAATACAATTATTTGAATTGAAGCAACTGTTACCAAAAGGCTCCCATCATCTAAGTATTAGAAAGTCTCTTAAAATTTCACTTGCAAGAATCAATAACATATGGCTTGAAAGATCCAGATAAATAAAACTAAATATATGTACTAATTAATGTAAAGAGACATCATAACCAGATTAAAATTTTATTCTTTTCACTATGTGAATTATTATTAAATTTTTTAGAAAATAACTTTTTTTTTTTTTTTTTTTTTTGTGGTGGTGGGGATCAAACTCAGGGCCCCAGGCATGCCAGGCTCTACCACTGAGTCACATCCCCAGGCCAAGATTTTTATTTTTGTAAAAAGAAATGAGAATTGTTTACTATACATTTTTCAATTATGAAGGGTCCTTGAACATATTTTAGAATTTGTATGGCTGCATGTTAATTCTTAATAAATATACTCACAAGTAAATGAAAATAAAATAGAACAACCAAACCCAGAAGAGCAGGCACTTCAGAACTGAAATTCACAGAAGTTGTTGATGGTCACACAGAGTCAACATTTCAACAGAATCATTATTGAACTTCTAGTGCTGGGGGTGTAGCTCAGTGGTAGAGATGGTGCAAAGCTCTGGGTTCAATCGCCAGTACCAAAGGGAAAAAAAATTAAAACTTCTGTTGCCGTAAGGAAGATCTACCCACTTTTGGCTATAGCAGATATTGAATCAATGTGAGTTTTTTTGTTGTTTTGTTGCTGGGGGTGGAATCCAGGTTCTCACACGTGCTAGGTAAACACTCTACCACTGAACTAGGTCCACAGCCCCTGAATCAATATGATCTTAAAAAAGGGGGGAAAATTCATAGTTTCCCTAACAATTGGACTGAGGTTTTCTTTCCCTTTTTCGTTTTTTTCCTCTTCTTCCCCTGTGCAGAAAAGCAAGTTGTACAAGAATCAAGCCAAAACAGATTAAGAAGTAGAATTTTCTTTTTAACATTGTTGTGCCTGGGATGAAGTCACAGCCCTGGGGGATGCTGCTTAAATGTCTATAGTTCCTTATCCAAAACTTTTTGGGCCAGATATGTTTCAGAATTCAAAATTTGTGGGATCTTTGAAAGGTACTGTGGGCATGCATTGTCTAATATAGAACTTCCAAAGTCTTGGCAATACCTGGAATCGTACCTATTGCTACTTTTTTGGGCAATACAAAGTGGCACAAACTACATTAATCTCCCATTAGTTCAAGTCAAATTTTGCTAACAAATAAACAGTGGGATAAAATTTAGAAAAAAGAGAAACAAACTTGGTTTCAAAGATTTTGGAATAAGGGAGTGTAGGCCTTAACCATCTCTGACAAAGGTTCATTGCATGGCATTACAATCTCTGCGAATCTGCTCTCATGCCTAGACTTACACTGGTTTAAGGACAATATCTCACCACAGAATATGGGCTTTAAAATGTGTTAGGGCAACAGATTCCCTGGAGTAACAGTATTCTCTATAAGGATAATTTGAAAAAAAAAAAAGTATGCTGAAATAACTACTGTTAAATAGTTAATTTTATTTAATCAGACACCATCTTGGACTCCATTTTAATACAGACCAGCAGTAGAAGGTGTCAACATTCAAGGAACATTTATATGAGAAGAATAAATTTAAGGACCATCCAGATATTAATGTAATTGTTTTCTGTGAATTAGAAAAATACAGGCATTATTCCATTTTTGCAGCTGTACAATGTGACTCGACATCGTCTGCAATCTTTGGCTATATAAGACTGAAATATCTATGACACCGTTTTGGCATCAACCCACTCCTGTAAACTGTAATGAAGTTATTCCAAGTAACTCATATATAATAATTCATATGTAACTCATATAGTAACTCATATGTAATAATTTCTCCTGTATTTATCAGTGTTTAAAATATGCCATATGCAGATCTTGATAAAAAAAAGACATCACGGAGCCATTAAACATCTTACTGTTTAAAAAACTTAAAGTCACTTTAAAGTCAAGAGCTTCAAAAAATCAAAAGAAAAAAAAAAAAAGCCTGGCTACATTTCTATGGTTTTGATCATTTTTGTTTTGTTTTAACAATGAAGAAGTTTCTTCTTCAAGCTGGGTGGAGGTGCATACCTGTAATCCCAGCAACTCAGGAGGCTGAGGCAGGAGAATCGCAAGTTCAAGGCCAGCCTCAGCAACTTGGCGAGATCCTGTCTCAAAAAATAAATTTAAAAAAAGGGGGGGACTGGAGATGTAGCTCAGTGGTAGAACACCCCTGGATTCAATTCCCAGTACCACACACACACATCAAAAAAAAAAAAAAAGGGAATAGTAAAAAAGTTTCTTCTTCAAAAGTAGAGGTCTTTTCCCAGTGAAGTGAACTGGAATGGGGTACCGTACTTGCAAGGGGGAAGGGACTGGCATAACATCAAGAGGAAGGACACTGTCCTGAAGTCAGAGGAGCACGTACAACCAACAAGGGGCAACGGGGAACAGTGGCTGAGACTCCTCAGAGGCACTTGCTGTGGGAATCCACTCCACATACATCAAATCCTACAACCCAACCCCCCATTCATGGGTGGGGAAGACTTCCAGGGCTCGGTAGCTAGAGGTTTGAGTGGGTTTCCTCAACTAAAGGTGGCCTGAAGATCCTGTTCTCTGGGTCAGTGGTGGAGACAGAGAGAACAGGTGCTCATTTTATTTCAAAAATGAGAATCTTCAAAATTAGCCATCTTTTTTCTGAATGAGTACGATCTAAAACAACAATCATCAGCCTTTCCTAAAAGCTACATCTATGCTACAAGGATAAGAAGGTCACACTTTTTAATTGTTTGTTTTAATGAATTCACAAATTAATTTGAAAAGTCTTAGCTGGTCTTTTTTTTTTTAAGCAAAAATATTACAGTAGTATAAGCAAAACTGGAAAGGGAGAGATGGGAAGAACAACAGACACTCAAATGCACGGGGAGAGGGGAACTCGGGTCACCATGGCTATTGAAGAAACTGTAAACTTTTAAGCTTCTAAGATTTTATTTATCTTCAGAGAACATTTAAGGATGCTGTTTTCCCCATGAATAAAATATGGAAAGTTCCTAAGCATTAGGGTCTAAGGAAGATTGGAAAAGTCTGATCTCCTTACCTCTCGATGCAATGCCTCTCCCATCCCCCGTAGCTTCACAGGATCAGAGGGAGAGAGCGCCCACCAGCAGCAGACCCCCGAGCACAGCACAGAGGTGTCCACGACACTCAGACTCAGTAATTCAGACTCACCGGCAATGAGTAAAACTCATCTCGAGTAAAATACACCAAGTTAAAAAAAAAGCAGAAAAAAAAAAAAAAAGCCCCAGAAATCCATAAACTGACTTTCATGGAAAGTTTTTAAAAGCCCTCAAGACATATTCTTATGTGCCATAAAGTACATTTCTGGACTTGATCTCTATGGGGGAAAGAAGAGAATAAATAGAAACAATTTAAGTCATCACTCGCATTCTGTTCTTTACCCTGTTTATGTGCTATCAGTTCCCACACCACCACCGTGCCACCTCAGAGGCCAGAAACCAAACGCTCCTGGTCCATGTTTGCATAGTGTAACGACATTGTCCGGAATGAACTTCTATCCTCTTGCTTCTGAAGAGCACTGGTCCAACCACATATTCGAAGACAAGACATAGTGTCTGTAGGCCAAAAGGTGGGTCCCGTGTAGCAGCAAGCTGTTCAAATCATTTTTGGAAACAGTCTTTTTCCACAAATCAGTCAGTTTTGTCTGCGATTTCAGATTTTGCTCTTTGCATCATGCAGCGGCGAATTATGCTATCGAAACTTCCCAGGTAAAACAGAGCAATTGTGCGGAAAAGGCCCATGGTGACCACCTGCAAGGTAGAGAGACCTTTCAGCTCATCCAACAGCATAACACTGCAGTTCATTTCAAGGTATTTAGCTCTCTTGTATGTAGTTTCTAGGACACATTTTCTAATCTGCTCCAAGGATAAGTATAATGAAAATATATAAATGTCAGTAAATCCTGAGGAACAGAATATGTGGGCTCAGTACCACTGTTCAGCACTGAGCCTACCAGAGATGACATTTGTTCAATTAAAAAATTCCAACCATAAAAGGATTAAAATAAGTACTCTTAGTAGAACAGAGCTATAATAGCAAGGGAAGTTCCACTTGGCATCCCAAACCGAGATACGTAATTAAGACTTCTCTGGTTTAAGATCTGTCTTCTGAGCACAAGGGAAAGCCCCTGTGCTAGGTGCTGACAAGACTATGATGAGCAAGATATATCCCTGCCCTCTCTGAGCTTTCCTTTTAGAGATAGGGACTCACTATGTCTTCCAGACTGCACTTGAACTCCTGGGCTCAAGTGATCCTCCTGCCTCAGCCTCCTGAAGTGTGCTCTGCTGGAGCTTATTTGTTAACTGGAAAGATGATCAAGCGAAAAGGCAATTTCTGTTTCAGGGTTGAGGCAGCAACTGCCCATATCTATTGACCCTCACTCTCTCCACTAGCAGACCCTCACTACAGCCACTCTAAATGGGATCTTGAAAAGACATTAAACTACAAAGAGAAAGAGATGCTTTTGTCTATACAAGGGTTCAACATTTTGGCTTTCCAGGTACCCTATTTTTCCAGAAAGCTATGGCCAGAGGCAAATGAAGTGAAAGTTCAACAAAGAAAGATGCTGTCATATGATACAGGAAGAGGGGACCCAACACAAGAGGCAGAGGGATTGTCCCGTGACCACCAAGGAGCGGGCAGCCAGGCATCAGCTCTGCACCAGGCAAGGGGCAACTGGTCTGGCCTGCAAGGTCTGGGCTCACAGGAGGAATTCCTTCCTGATCCAATATCGGGTATTTCTAAACCTCTCAAGAGAAGATGAAGATGAGGTGAGAGGAGAATGGAACAGTGAATTAACAAGTGTTCAGAAATACATTTAAAAAGCAAACAAATAATTTTAGGGAAAACAAGAAGTTGTGCTTCTTTTTTTTAACAACTAATCATTAAACATGACAAACACAGTGACATTCAGCTGTAAAAGGCATCTAAACAGTCACCAAAATGATCTTCCCAAATAGGGATCTACCCAAGATGACAATAAAACAAAAGGACAGCATAAGTAATATCACAAAATGAGGGTGGGGAGAGGATGGCGTGGGGGAGAGCCAAGTGCTCGCCTTTCGTCCTGGGAGGCAACAACATGACATGTCGACCCTGAAAGAGTGGCACATGGGACTCTCATTTCCAGGGGAACAGGAGAGCTTCTGGTGAAGGAACAGGGTGTATGGGGGGTGCTGTGGAGGTCCTGGGTGGGGTGCAAGGGAAGGTCCCTGATCTCCTTAGCAGCCCTTGGAAATCACTCCATTCTCTGAACGCGAGCAAGGATAACTTGCAAAAGCACAAAAACCAAAGGAAAGCTGGCAGAGGCCAAACCAGGAAAGCAGTAAAATGATCACTCGTGGACAGGGACTCTGGGGAGGATGAAAATTGCAGACCAGGGCAGTTTTAGGGCAGTGTAATTATTCTGCATGACCCTGTGTTGTTAGATAGACGACATTATGCATTTGTCAAAACCCACAGAAGTGAACATCACTGATAATAAACCCTAGCCTCAACTGTAGACTTGAATTTCGAATAATGTGTCAATGTTGGTTCAAGGCACCAGGCTAATGCAAGACGTTAGGGAAACTCTGGAGGAGAGGTGGGGTGGGGGCAGGGGTATATGGGAACTCTACCTCAAGTTTTCTATAAACCTAAAACTATTCTAAAAAATAGTTACACACACACACACACATACATATATATAGTAGTCCATTATATGTATGTAAATATACATATTTACACATTTTTAAATCTCAAGAAAAAGCGATTATGAGACAGTCTAACAAAGAGTTGAAGATGTGACCTGAAGGAAGATTAAACACTGGCTAGACAAAGGAAAGCTGGGGAGGAGGGACATAAAGAAAGTTCCAGAAAGAGAAAGAAGAGTAGGGGAAGGAAGAGAAAGAGCCAGAAAGGTTAGCAGGTCAGAGGACTTGCTACATGTGCTAGAATTTAAGCTTCACCTGGGTGGTAATGGGGAGCAACGGAAGGTTTTATACAAGATTCATCTGCCATTTAGAAAAGCAGTCCGTGCTGGGAACAGTGGCGCACACCTATAATCCTAGCAACTCGGAGGCTAAGGCAGGATCTCGTTCAAGGCCAGGCTCAGCAACTCAGTGAGACTGTCTCACAATAAAAAATTTAAAAAGGGCTGTGGATGTGGCACAGTGGTAGAGCACCCCCGGGTTCATCTCTAGTACTACAAAAGAGAAAGGAAAAGAAAAGAAGACTGAATGCAGGCACCCTGAGGTTAGAGAGGTTGCCTTACATCTGATTCTCCAAAGCAAACAGCACCAGCATGCACATCAATAAGTAACTTCTGTGTGTCTTGGACAATACTATAAATGCCGTAAAGGTAGGGAATTCTTTTAACCCTCCACTCACATCTCCTTCAGAAGCTTGGATACGGGTAACCTGACTTAGCTGGAAAAGGTATCACAGTCTAATAGCTCATTATGTTGTAAGGTAAGGCCACTGGTAAACTAGATAGAGGATTCCATTTTTCCAAACTCTTTGAAGCAAGACTTTTCTTAGGTGAAAACCCAGATTAACACCCCAATAGTAGAGACAGTGCTTCATCTGTTTGCAGGGCTCAGCACCAAAAATTTCTTCCCAGTCTACATTCCCTAGGTTACATCCTTAACCTACTCCCTATTTACTTATTGCTAGCAGAGGAAGGGAGAAAATTCGACAGCTCAATAAAAATTTTTCACATTCCCAAATACAGTTACTAGTCCACTCTTAGCCTTTTCCCATGGAGGTCTGACACAGGGCAGTTTCTACCTTGTCCTTCTGTCCATCTGTCTGTCTGATGAAGGCAGAGCTTACCTGTTGGAGTCCTTCAGTGATAGAAGTTACTGGAGCCATCCCACAGGTCAGGGCTGAGAGCATGTACCCATCTGAGCCGATGGAACTATTAAAATTTCCTTGCTAAAAAAGAGAAGGAAGAGGACAGAGAGAGAGGGATCCATTGTAAGCTGAAAGGAATCAATTCAACATATCAGCAGCAATGAGGTATATTTTTCACTTTAGGTGGGATAGAATGGTAACAAGGCAAACATTAGAACTCAGACACTTGTCCTTGGCTGATGGGCAGCTCTCGAAATGTGAGTCCACAGAACCCTGGGAGCCCTAACCCCAAGGAAAAAAATGACCGTCATAATACTAAGGCATTCACTGCCTTGTCAAACCACAGTGACATGTGCACTAATAGGCAAGCCTACTGGGCCATTAACTCCATCAGTGTTCTCACCAAACGAGACTAAAAATCACTGTCACTACCTTTGCCACATGCATTTGCAATAATAAATACACAAAGAAAACTCAACTTTAAAAAATCTTTAAAAATTTTTTAAATGTCCATTTTACTTAAAAAGTCCCTTGGTAAAAAAGAAAAGTTAATCATTTTATAAAATCACAACCCTTGAAGACATGTCTCCTCAATACAGTAGCCCCCTTTATCCCCAGCATCAGTCAACCAAGGCCTGAAAAGATTACGTAGAAAATTCCAGAAATAAACAATTCATGAGTTTCAAGTTGCACACGGCTCTGAGTAGCACAATGGAATCTCATGTCGTCCCCCTCTGTCCTACCCTGGCCATGAATTATCTCTTTATCCAGCATATCTGAAACCAAATTCATAAATTACCCTATTTTATAGTTTAACTATGTAGTTCATTGATGCAGTTTTCAATTTCACATTGTAGCTAACCTTTAAGAAGTGACCATTTGTTGAGTTTGGGTTTAATTCCAAAGGAATAAAAATATATCCATAATTACATACACAAAGACAACCTATATAAGTTTTCCTACATACATGTGGAGAAAAAACAGTATGTAGAGGGTTTGCAGATTCAGGCATCCCTGAGATCCCTCGTGGATGAGGGGGGTGCTACATTACTCTGTTGACAAGTGAGAAACTGGCACCAAGTGCCTCTGCCGCACTTGAATGCAAAGCCTATGCAACTGCTTGGAGCTGAACTTGCTGCCCTCCCAGGAACACTGTTTTCATATGAAAGCATCGAGCACCATGACAGGCAGGGAGAGTGATCTGCTTGGCTACAGCAGATGAGCAGAGAGAACCATGTGAGCCTGTCACTTGGAGGAAAACAACTTGGTGTATTCATGGGTAACGTTAAAATCTGAGCTTTCAAGGAAAAGTTCAGATATGCAAAAACTTGGTCTGCCATCTTGAAACTGTCAGCTTCTCAACACATACTTTTATGGTAAGATCAGCAGTGATATTGAGGAATGTGATTTTTTGATAACTCAGTGAACCCATATTTTCCAAATGACTAATTCCTGATACCAAATCATGAATGAGTAAAAGATCCATTCAAAGTGCAAAAGAGATCAACAGATTTTAATGTCACAGAGAACAAAAAGTTCATTGATGTGGTTTCCAATTTCACATTGTAGCTAACCTTTAAGGAATGACCACTTGCTCAGTTTGGATTTTAATATCAGAAGAAGAAAATGATATCCAAAATTATCTAAAAAGTCCTACAAGATACATCTTCCTCTTCTGACTACATAGCTGTATGTGGTCAGATTTTCTTCATCTGCTTCAACCAAAACAAAATACTACAATAGACTGACCACAGAAATGGACAAGAGAATCCAGCTGACCTCTATTATGCAGACCTTAAAGAGACTGGGTGAAAATAGAAAACAATGCCACTCTTCTTGTATTTTTGTTTTGAAAATAATTATTTTTGTAAAATATGTCACATTAAAATATAATGGATTATTTTTAATGAATTCATAACTAATTTTTTAACACTATGGCTTCAATTTCTAATATGGCAACTATTGATAAGTATAACCCAGGTAACTAAAAGTTCTCTAGGGTTGTCAATAACTATCAAGAATGTAAGGTAGTTGAGAGAAGGAAAAATTTGAAAAACTACGTCATGAAATGAATCCTGGCCAAAACAGGAAGAACGCTTCAGGATCATTAAGAACCTAGAGTCTGTTTGCTTTGACTTGAGATGAGCTTGGGGGAAAAAAAATCCCATCTGAGCCACTTGTACCCTCTCCTGTGCTTTTTAAGGCAACCTAGGCAAAGCTGCTCACACCTGTATATATTTTAACAGAGGTCGGTATTTCTTTCATTCCTGTCAGCTCAGCCCCGGCAGCAGTACTGTGCTATTTTGAGGCTGCACCACACTGTGCTGACACCTTCACTCCAATGGTCCTAAAGATGTTTCAAAGCCACTGTGGGCCTGCGGATCACAGGCAGACCTCAGAAAGGTACATTTTTCTGCATGTGGGTCAATAGGAATGTTGCTAAAAGGCATGTGGCACATGGGTTGTTGTTCCACAAAACGGCACATGATTTCTGATGATACCATTTTTGATTATCCGCAAACTCAGTAGCTGAGAAAGCACATGGGCTGGGATACCTGGAGGAGGGGCCCAGCAGGCTGGCTGCACTTTCATATGAGTTATCTTTTGGGAAAATGATACTCGGAAACAGCAAGGGAAAAGAATCAATCACCCTGTCAATAAAGTCCCTAAATTAATCTAAAAACTGAAAATTCTGGGGGAAAGAAGAAGAAAGAAGAGAATAAGTTGCATATTGGATTTAAACCACATGGACGAGTCTCATTTGAAGAACATGAGTTCCAGACACTGTTCCTAAGGTTAAGGTATATAACATATAATAACGTGTCTAGGGAAGAGAAGTAGAGTCTGATATTAGACATGATGAATCTGACCACAGAGTTAAAATATATTTTTTTTGAAATAAGTCCTTGAGTAAGTATCTCCAGAAATATAGTATAACTACAAATAGTACAGAAAACAAACGAGGATTTTACTTACTATGGCATCTTTAACAATTTGTTTGGCCACCTGTTCTGGCTTGCAAACAGATGTGGTCTCTGAAATCAGTCGAGTCTCCAAAGGCTAAAAGTGAAAAATATGTTTGTATCAATGCCATTATTGACCATTACATTAAAAATAAGGCAGTCTTATAGCACCCCAATTTGTAAGTAATTGTGCTTATATACCTTCAAACAGAGTCCTAATTTTAGAATAAAGTCTTATCTGGATTCTAAATCAGCTTCTACTCGGTCACTGTGGAACATTCAGCCCAGCTGCTAAGGTAGACAAGAAGGCCCCTGCATTGTCTATAGGATGTATGTGGTCTCGGCTTCAATGAGGACTTCTGACTCCTCACTGCTGGCTGGATACCTGACCCTATGTCCTGGGAAAATCTGCACCCATTTCTAACCATACTCCCAGGCCAGCAGATGACTGACACCTGGGGACAGAACTGAGGCCCTGGACAGGGACAGTCCCAACCCAGCCCCTGGTCAAGAATTGCAGGTGTTTCTTAAAGGACCTGCATTAACAGCAAAGAGACAGGATGCTGAAAGAGGACCCATTCATGAGACAACACTGAGTGGCCCAGAGTTTGGTGAAGTGCTATTCCAAGGCTGGGGTTTCAAATCCCAAATCCTGGCCTCTGGTTCTTCAAAAGGTGGCTCAAGGCCCTCTTAAATCTTATTTCAAAATGCCTTTCCTGAATCCTCGACTGGCAGTAATCTTGTCTTTGAACATTTCTGCCTTCACATATATTATACAGACTTCTGCACTTACATTTGATCTCCTAAGCAGCTTATGATAAGAAGAATCTTTTTTCCCCACATTTATCTTGGGCTCTTCTTGTGGCACTTCACACACACGTGTTAAAAATTCTTTAAAAATTCTTTAGAAGGGCGTTTCAAACTAAAGCCTTAATCTTTAGGAGGCTGCCTATTTTATTTACCATGTAGACTTAGGAAAATAAAATAAAAGCCAAAACATATTTTCTTAAAATAGAAAGCAAAGCAGTTCATAAAAGTCAGGATGAACCTGACAGGTTCTTGACGAACATGAATGAAGAGAAAGGCCCCTTTGAAGGGGCCACCATTCCTTCTTCCAACCACCAGATTGACACAACCAAGCCAGATGCACGTGAGATTTAAAGGTGCTATGTCGCCCCCTAAAGGGTCCACAGATCAATGCAGAATTGGATTTACCTGAACTCAGCCCAGTATTTTATAGGAGGAAAAACCCCGACTTAACACAAAATCAAATCTTAGGGAAGTCACCACTCTGTGTGGGCTCTGTCTTCAGACTAAGAGACTGTAGACCAAATGCTGAAGATCTGCTTAGCAGGCCTCTCCTTATTCCAAGCAGGACATTTGGCTTAAATTTACTTCTTTGAAACAGTAGTAATTTTAAAAAATGCAGAGCCAAAGAGAAAAGAACAGAGGGGAAAAAAAGCTTCTAAATCATAAACATCTTTTTTTTTTTTAAAGGGGGGGGGGAGAGGGAGAGAGAGAATTTTTTAATATTTATTTTTCAGTTTTCGGCAGACACAACATCTTTGTTTGTATGTGGTGCTGAAGATCAAACCCAGGCCGCACGCATGCCAGGCGAGCGCGCTACTGCTTGAGCCACATCCTCAGCCCCATAAACATCTTTTTTTGCAAATATACAGAATATGAAATATAAGTACCAATTTTTATGCTGTAGAGATTCCTATTTACTGAAAATTACTACAAATAGGAAAACAAAAATCTAAAAAATAAAATGAAAAAAATCTAAAGATAAGATCACCCTCAATTTGAGGTGGTAAATCCTTTCCTACCACCTTATTTATTTATTTTGGTATGGGGGATTGAACCCTGGCTTACTTAACCACTGAGTCACATCCAAAGCCCTTTCTATTTTTTATTTTGAGACAGGGTCTCACTAAGTTGCTTAGGGCTGAGGTTGGCCTTGAACTTGTGATCCTCCTGCCTCAGCCTCTGGAGTCACTGGGATTTTGGACTCAGAATGACTACCACATGTCACCACTCAGGGAAGCTATGAGGCACCTTGCTGGAAACAGAAAAAATCAAGCAAAGGCTGGCACTGATGGTGAGTGCCCAGACCTCCTGCCCTGCTTGGGTCTCACAATGCAGAGAGCTGGTTTTGTGATTCCTCACTGGGGAAACTGATCCAGCCATGGGAAAGGACAGCCGATGAGGACATAAGGGGATCCAAAAAGAGCCAGTTCCCCCTCCTGGCACTGCAGGGAAGTGGGAAGACAGAAGCCAGAGCCCTACAGCTGGCTTAAATGTGGATGGCCACGGATGGCCAGACCTCTGAGTCTGGGGAATGCCTAAAACAGCAGCAGCAACGATGACCAGAGAAACTTGGAGAAAACAGATAACGGGTACAGACGGCAGTTAAATTAAAAAAAGAAGGAAAGAAAAAACCACCTACTGGGCGCTGTGGCACACCCCTGTTAATCTCAGCCACCAGGGAGGCTGAAGCAAAGGATCACAAGTTTGAGCAACTTAGCAAGATCCTGTCTCAAAATTAACATAGAGAAGGGCTGGGGACACAGAGCACCTCAGGGTTCAATCCCCAGTACCATGCACAAACACCCACATGAAAACAAAACAGAACACCAAACAATCACAAAAATAAAACAAGACCAAAACCCCGGAAAGAATATCCTCAGAAATAAGATATGAAATCCAGGAAGGAGGACAAGCTATACATGTTTTTATTAGTGCATTATAGTTATACATGAGAGTGGGGTTCATTTTGACATGTAAAATATTCAAAGAAAAGAGCTGGAAAAATTTTTACATATGACAGCATAAACAGAAATTTCAACAGAAAAGTTGAAAAAAAAAATGAGAGAAACAAAGAAAAATAGGGGACGAGTCCAGAAAGTTCAACATCTGAGTGACAGAAGCTCCAAAAAGAACACTCAACATACTTTGGATGGAAAGAAATTATCAAAAAAGTAATATTAAGAAAATGTTCCAGAACTAAAGTGCATGAGTTGTCAGAATAAAAGGGCTCATCTGAGTGTCTAGCATATAAAATGAGAACACGCTGCATCAAAATACATTAAGTGAAGATAAAAAGGGACAAAAAGCTTCTAAAAATAAACCAAAAAAAAAAAAAAAAACAGATTCTATGCAAAGGGTTGGGCTATCGTGATGCCAGCCCGAATCAGTGGAGAAATGCCCCCCAAATCAGAGGGAGCTTCATTTCCAACCTAGAATTCTGTGCCCCACAGGACAACCACAGGGCAAACAGGGAAGAGAGAAGCATTTTCACACACAGGTTCTAAGCATGGGTGACAGGTGACATCTGATGTGCCCTTCTAAATCGGGCAGGTAAACTACGGCAGTAATAAAATGGAAATCCTGAGACCCAACAAAGGAAGGGACAGGAACCTGCAGGGATATAGTGAGCAGAGGAGTGGAGACCTGCAGGTCTGGATCAGGCCAGAGGCGGAGGCCAGGAGGAATGTCTTCAGGGAAAACAGAATGAAAAGTAACAGAAAACCCAGTTTGGGATCAAAAGGAGACTTTCAGTTCTGAGACTGAATCACGTCACACACACACACACACACACACACACACACACACACACAAAGTCAAGAGAGGAAAAGGCCAGAAAGGAAATGTCATTTTACAAATGCTCAGGTGTGAATGATATTTATAAAGTCACATGAATATAGACACTGATCTGATTTAACCAAATTACCCAGGGAGAACCCAGGAGGGGGGAACAGATCGGGGTCTTAGATCATATCTTCCACGGCAGAAAACCAATACATGATCTCTAAATCTTAAAAATAAATAAATAAGTAAATAAGCGGATGCAGCGTAGACGTGTTGATGAATGAGTGAAGCCCGAGGAGAGGGCTTCGGGAGTGGGCAACAGAAGGCAGAGACTCGTGTGGAGTGACGGGTGTCATAGGGCGGGCCACCCTGACCCATGTTAGGAAGGAGGTGGCCGTGAGAACAAGCCAAGAGGAAGCTTCCTCTGGAGAACCCGGCAGGACCTCAGGCCCTGGATCAGCACTCTACCCCCAGGACACCCCACAGACACTGGTGGCTGACCACAAGCTGGAGCGAAAGAATGGAAAATCAGAAAAAAAAGAGGCTTAAGATGCTGAAGATGGGGCTGCCACAGCCGGGAGCACTGACCTTCGTTTTGTTCTCCTCGGCGAAGCCGGGGGTGTCGGTGTCGGGTGGGTAGGCCACTGTGACGTACACGTTGTACGGCTTCACCTGCGGCAGAGAAGCAAGGGTCACACCTAGGTCAAGGGCACTCCATCTTGCATCCTGCCCCACTGACCCGCCTTGGGTGCCCCGATGTTCAGGAGGTGGTCAGAGCAACAGGGTGACTCTGTAATGGAAACCACCTGCCCTCTCACCTGGCCCTGATAACCAGCAGCTCTGGGGGCAAGGATTTGTACCATCAGAATCTCTTTGCTAATTCTGTTTGCTACTGGCTCACTTTTTGGTCCCCTTTTGGTTTTGGAAGCAGAGGTAGCCTAGACTGCAAATCTTAAGGAGAGCGAAATTGCCAACACTGCTGCCGACTGCAGACCCCAGGAGCCCGCCAGGGTCCCCCTCTTATCACGCCGCCCATTTCTCCCAGGTTCTCTCAGTGAAGCACAGTTCTGAAGTCAAACACGGGGATCTACAAGGGTCAGGAGAAGCAGAGGTCCTTGGCTGGCCATTCTAGAATGTGCGACAGGGAAAAGATGCCTCTGTTGGTTCCGTTCCAGCGCCACCACGAGGGCGTGAGAGAGCTCATCCTCCCAGCCCAGCTATGCTCAGAAATGGCTCTGGATGGGGGCCAGGCCACGGGGTTGATGAGCAAGCAATTTCTCTTCCACTTGTTTTTGAGACAGTGACTTAAAAAAAAAAAAAAACTTGTCTCCCACGGCCTTGCCCTCTGCTGTGCATGGACCAAGGAAAAACAGCACAAAAAAGCCAATAAGAGGAAATTAGACCCTGGATGCTTAGGCTGGTCACTTCTGTGCATCTCTCTGCCCCTGGCCCACAATAAGTAAGGACCAGAAACTAACATAAGACAGTATTTCAAAGTAGAGTCTCAGACTCAAGGCTATGGTTGCAGTGGTTAAACAGAGCTTTTTGGAACATTTTCTCATGGGGTGGGACCATAGATTGTTGGGGTTGAGAGAAACCAAGCCAATCCCCTTTTGGGCTGGTATCCTCTCTATAATTATCAAGCCAAATGACTCTCCCAGTCAAAGGCTGGATATTTCCAGGGCTAGCAACTTAACCATTTATGCAGGCTTTTATTTAATTATCTAACAAATACCTATTGAATTCCTACTATGGGCCAATATTGTTCCTAGAATGCAGCATACAGCCTTGAACAAGCTGACTAATCCCTGTCCTTGTGGAGCTTCTGGTCTCCTGAAACTTTTGGTCACCTGATTTACTAACAGCAGAAAGCTGAATATACCCTCCTTGAACTACTGACCTCATAGCAATCAGCAAAGGCAATGAGGGTTGTCTGGGTTCACTTGTTCTTGGTTAGACAAGTCCGACCCCTGAGATCACCACTTTCTAAGAACGTGCGAGCCACTCACTAAGGTCCTGCTTAGGTAGCCACTGCCTGCTTCTCCGGGTCCCTCTGCCCTCCCACTGTGCCCTGACTCCCACGGTCCTCTTTTCTTCCTTCCACCTGGGATCAACCTCAAACAGAAAGACCGAACACTCAAAGACCTGATTTACCATCAAAATGATCCCACATAAGACCTGTTGTTCCTCATTCCATGACAACAAAGGCACAGGGGATGGAGAGAAGACTATTTACATGAAACTTCAGAATTCAAGCTTCAACTTACTTTCTGACCGCTGTGGGCAGGGATGGAGGGAGGAGGGGACGGGGCCTGATCAGGTTTTTTTTTTTGGCTAGGTCTCTGATGGCACAACGTTGGCTCCTACCTTAAGTCTACTTTCCAAAAGATTAAAATTTAAAATCTTTAAATGATATATTTGTAACCAACATATTAAGAAAAATATGTATGCTTTCAGGATTATCCACTGTATCTACAGCATTTCCAAGGCCCTACCTTAATCTGGGGACAAAGCCAAGGGGAAGGAAGACTTTATCTACAATTGGTTTGGTGGAAGTTCTACTATGAACAAACTAGATTTTGAAGACAGGATTTATTTCTTCCCAAATAAGAGGCTATTTTTCAGGGTACATGTTTTTTTGTTGTTGTTGTTGTTGTTGTTGTTGTTTAAGTAAGGATATTTTCAATGGAGTCCAAATATGGATGGAATTCAAGCCAACTTGGGAACCCAGGATCTGCCATGTGCAAAACACACTTGTCACCAAGGCTGAGGGAACTCTGTACTGGCAACTAGCTCTCTTTTCTCTCCTCTGAATTAGCATCTCTGTCCTACCAGAAGTGAAACCAGACCACCCAGATTACACACCTTGTCCTCAACTAGTGATCTAGACTTGTCTCTGCAAGACCAGATTTAGAGGAAACACCCCAGTGAGCAACGTTTTTATCCCCAAACACCCGCCGCACCCACATGGACTCTACAACCAAAGTGAAGCGCTGGAGACAAGCAGCCAGATGAATGAGACCACTTCTGACCTGAAACCCAGACACATCCTCTACTGTGGAAGACCCAGACACGTGGAGGTGAACACTCAGGCCTTCTTATTATTTCTCTCACCAAGTAACTCTATGACTTTGAGAAACTCACTGAAATCACGGAAAATTCAGTTTTCTTTCCATAAGGTGGCTTAACAACATCTGCCTCATGTATTTCAAAAAATTTTGACAAAAAATAAAATAAAATGGTTATTCACAAAGGGAGTTTTCTAAGTAAAAATTGCAAAACAAAAAACAAGATTCTTATCTGAAATTTCACAGTTGTGCATGCCCTATTGGTTAAGTGTACTATAATGATCTATTCTGATTAAGATATTAATCTTAATCAGATTAGATCTGATTCCTGGTTCCTTTGTTAGAAAAACAACACAGTTTATCAGTCTCTAAGTGGCCCATCAGGACTCAGTCCCTAGCCCAATAACTTGTACAATATTTAGGCCACGTGCTTCTCTGTCACACACCATCCAGCTTTCTTCTGGGATATTCTTAACATGGGTTAACAACTATAGCCTGTGCGTACTTTTATAAATAAAGTTTTACTGGACCCAGTCACACCTGTTCATTTATGTGGCTGCTTTCCTGCTACCACAGCTGACATCAGCAGGTGTGACAGGAACTATCCGGCCCTCAAAAGCCTATAATTTACTATCTGGCCCTTTACAGGAAAAAAAAAAAAAAATCACTCACCACTGATCTAAATGATTAACCAGTACTTCCGAAAGCACACTTATTACAAGGGGGCTGGCCATGCGAGGTCTCTTCTGGGCTTCTAACGTCGTGAGGTAGTGTTACATTCCAGTGTAGACTATGGCAAAAGAAATTCTACCTTATATGGTACTGGATAGACCCCAAGTGACACTCTCTGAGCCTCCCTGTGTGACCATAATGTATAAGTCCACCCACACCTGAGAGGTACACGCACCACGATACTTTCTTACTCTCTTTGACATTTTTGTAAGATGTGAAAAACGTAAGTATTAGGAGAGCCAAACTGATTTTTTTATTCTACCCCTCTCATTTTATAGATGAAGAAACTGACACCAAGTTAAATGTCTTGCCTAAAAGCCAAGAGTCACTGCCTGATTCAAGGGCTTCCCCTCAAGGTTTGCTAATTCTGTTACTTATCAGGATAGATCTTTTTGTTAAAGGAAGATCTCTATGGAAAAAAAATATCTGGTTAACCTTACATATACACAGTATTAGGCCAAAAACACCATGACAATATTACTTAGCACTTTGTGTATTCAGTAGGCAAAAAACATAACCATTTTTGCTTCTGTACAATCTCTATGCAACGAGAAAGGCGAACTGCAAAACTCAGGAGTCAATTTTCTTTCACTAATGTCAAATCTACAAATCTCAAATTTAATGCCCTCTCTAATTAAGTTTAATGTCACATCTACGAATCTCTAATTTAATGCACTAAAGGAGCTAGGAAACCAAAAAACTTGTATAGTGCTGAACTGAGAGGAATAAATTCAGAATTTAACTTTTACCTCCATCTGCAGAGCTTCCGCCAATCCCCTTATGGCAAACTTGGATGAAGAGTAGGCCGTGAAACCAAACAAGCCCAACTGTCCCGCCTGAGAAGACACAAACACGATCCTGCCCACCCGGCGCTCCTTCATGGTGGTGATCACTGCTCGGCTGGGATACACGCTGCCCAGGTAATTGACGCTCATTAATTTCTGTAGGGAACAGAGAAGCCACATGAGGAGAGAACAAGGCCAAGAGTTCTTCAGTGGAAGTCCATAAATGAATGAACAGCTACATGATACTGCAAAGGAGATGCTCAGCACCTTCTGTTTGAGGCCCACTTCAATCCTGTCTTGCCTTCTCACAATGACAACAATTAGATCTTCGCTGAAAATTGGTCAAAATTAGTTTTCCTCTTATAAAGTATACGACATGTTGCAGGTAATACTTTTTGAAAGATAGTTTTAGGAAAGAGCCTCCAAATGTTTCTAGTCCTACTGGGTCTATGCTACAGAAGGACCATAAACAGAGCAGGACAGTGGTTACCAGTTCAGATTTGGGGGTTCAATCTTTGGCTCTACCATTTGGTACCGATTTGATAATGAACCAGAAAGTCAGATGCTCAGCTCATTTTCTCAGCTGAAAAGAAGGTTAAATTTGGAATTACCACAGGGAAAATACAAGTTAAATGCTAGTGCAGTTCCTGGCCCACAGCAAGCCAATACGCATTGGCTCTTATACTGCCATGGGCAAGGGCTTAAGTGGGCACTTAGAGTTCGTTACCCTCTTCCTAAAACTCTCAAAACCTCGAACTTTGAGAATCTAAGAATGCTTGCATTTTAATGTTTCTCTATTAAGAGTCTTATAGAAATATTAGCTTTACCATAATGTAAAGCTAATCAATCTTAATATGTTTAAGATGGCCCCAAACAGCAGGAGTGACATGGAGAAACACTTATGCCATTGGTTTTTTGTTTTTTTTTTTAATTTTTTATTGTGGGTTGTTCAAAACATTACAAATTTCTTGACATATCATATTCCACACTTTGATTCAAGTGGGTTATGAACTCCCACCTTCACCCCATACACAAATTGCAGATTCACATCAGTTACACATCCATTGATTTACAAATTGCCATACTAGTGTCTGTTGTGCTCCGCTGCCTTTCCCATCATCCACCCTCCCCCCTCCCCACCTCTCCCCTCCCCTCCCCTCCTCTCTCTCTACCCCCTCCACTGTATAACCCTGAGGGTCATGCCATTGGTTTTTAAGAAACAGAGGTCAGGTGTCTTTAGACCATGGCTATAACTATTTAAATAATGAATAAAAGAATGCGTGTGCAAGCATAGAATCAAGGAAATACATTAAATCATAAGTGATTATGGCAGGATGGTGGTCTTCCCATTTCCCCCCAAAATATGTTTTAGTATCATTATATTGTTTTGATAATAAAAATATCCTTAAAAAATATCTGAAAAAAGGCGGTCCACAGTGTTCACTTTGGCACCTTTAGAGATCCCACTTCCTGGACAAACACATAAGAACAAAGAAAATAGAAATGGAAATAACAGCAAGAGCATTTTGCAAGTTGAAGAACAGGAGGACCAGTGAGGAGTAATTTAGCAGAACATGGACAACTTAATTCTTAGCTGGAGTGGAGAAACTAAGAATAGACTGGGGCTGGGGACATGGCTCAGTTGATAGAGCGCTTGCTCCACATGCACAAGGCCCTGGGTTCGATCCCCAGTACCACAAAACAAAACAGGACTGGACCCTAAAAAAGGCTCAAGAAGCACTGAGCACCTATGGGATGAGGAAGGCTAGATGGGTGCAGGGCTGAGAGACAGGAGGTCAGGGTACAGGTAGTTGGGTAGAAACAGCCCAGATGTCCATCAACGACAAATGGATAAACATAAAGCACACCTCATTCAGTGGAGTGTTACCAGCCCATGCAAAGGAGGAGGTAATATAATACATGCTACAAGGCGGGGGACCTCAGAACCATGCTGAATGAAAGGAGCCAGATACAAGGGCACTGATCACAGGGCTCCACTCATAAAACACATCCAAAGCCAGGTGTGGTGGCATACGCCTGTAAATCCAACAGCTCAGGGAGGCTGAGCCAGGATGATCACGACTTCAAAGCCAGCCTCAGAAAAGTTGCTAAACAACTGGCTCTAAATAAAATACAGAATATGGCGGGGGATGTGGCTCAGTGGTTGAAGGCCTCTGAGTTCAATCCCTAGTACCCATAGGGGGCTCCCTTTTGTGGTGATGAAAATGTCTTGCAATTAGAGGTGGCAGTTACACAACACTGTGAACGTTTGAATGCAGTAAATGCCTCTAACTGTTCACTTTAAAGTGGCTTATTTTATATAAATCTCACCTTACTTTAAAAAAATTGATGTAGGACAAGGACAAAAGCAAAAAAAAGGACAGTCCGATCTTAGAGGCCTCCCTCTCCACAGAGCAGATACGGCCCCTCTTCCAGGGTGGCCGGGACAGAGGTGTAGCTCCTAGCAAGGATCAGTCCAGGTTTAAAATAGTCTGCTGAACCTGGAGACCGCCACTCTCCACCACAGTTGCCCTCAGGACACTGCAGTTAGGTGCATGTCTCCCAGGCAGGAGGCCAGGATTCTTAGTTACAGCTTCTGTTCAACCCAATAAATAAGACCTATGGAACCTGGTCCCACCCAAGATCTGGCCCTGTCACAGAGGGCCAGATGAGACAGCTCTACCCAGAGCACAGGACTCCCCTTTAGCCCTTTAGAGTTCTCATCTCAATGTACAAACATGGCCAGGCATCAGCAGCCACCCAAGCAAAGCCCCTAACACAAGACAGACACCCTGGCGCCTTAGAAGAAATAAACAAGGAAGCAGACAGAATGGAAGGACAAAAGGAAATTGACGAAGACTTCTCAGTATCCAGGGCTCAGGATGAGGAAGACACAGCGTGGAGAAACCATGGAAAAGGGAAATCAAGAGACGTGTACTGCCTGGGGCTCCCCAGGACCTCGCCAGGCTGGGTGACTCCCTAGAAAGCCTCACAATCCTCAGCTTATAGTCACTGTCACAATGAAGATTTATTACAGGGAAAAGATACAAACAAAATCAGTAGAGGAAAAGACACTGGGAACAAAGTCCAAAAGACACCAGGCGCAGGTTTCCCACAGTCCCCTCCCAGGGGGTCACATGAGACCTGCTTGATTCTTACACAATGAGTTGAAACAACACGAACTTCACATCTTCTGCTTGTCACTGATACCTGCACACTTTCACCTGGCGTGAGTGCTTAGTTTCCTGTTCACAGTCACACCCCCTATGCACCAGCCACTGAGTGCCTTTGTTCCACCACCAGACACACACAGGTCAACAATGCCTACTCCTGTTGTCCAGGCGCACACGCCCCCTTATTGGGGTCCCAGCGATGCGTTTATCACAACCATGCAACTATATATGCCCCCATCCACCCTTTGTCCCCATGTTTAGTCAAACTGAGTCTGTGGGTTCTCACCCCATATCACACACACACACACACACACACACACACACACTCACTCACACTCTCTCTCACTCACACGCCTACTTTTCTGGCCACCCCCCAAATCCTTTGTCTCATCACTTCATGCCTAGACTATAAGAACTGTTTTTCCCAAATTAATTCTTTACACAGCTGCTGATATAATCTTCAAATCTCCCTTCCATTCCTTCCACATGAAGGTATACAAGTCTAGACAACTCTTTTAATGCCAAACTGATAAAGGAGCCCGAAGACACATCCCACCACTGTGCTTCTATCTACACCCTGACTCTCCTGCTTGCTGTAAGTAAATCCAGAGTTGGTGGTGCTTTCCCACGGCCGCCAGAAGCAAGACAGTTACAAAATTGCCTCAGCAGTCTCCTTCTCTATAAAAGCTTAACTTCAGAGTCAAGCAAAATTCAAAACCATCAGCACATTGAAGGCTGAGCAGAAAAAACGTGGCAGATATACACTAACTGCAAAATTCTGTGCCCTTAAAAAAGATTTCAAATCTAATGCCCATTTCTTTGACACTGAAAGAAATTATTAAAAGGGTTCCTTGGAAAACCTGCTTAATATGATATAAATAGGATGCATCACTTTCTGATCTTGAGTTGAGAACTCCAGTGAGACTGTTGTTCAACTTTTTTGGTCTCTCATTGTTCATAATACAGGTACTTGACATGAAGACCCAACATCTTATGTGATCGCAGCAAACACTGCAGTAATCTATCACAGGAGATGTTGCATTTTTCATTTTAGAGCTGAGAAAAACTGAGGTTCAGAGACCAGTCCATGTTCTTACGGTTCAGCGGTCACAGCCCTGGGACCAAGACCTTGTCAGCCCTCCTCAGTCTTCTCAAGCATCTATGAACGCCTGAATGCACTCATCTACTTTATTCTTAAAGCCCTTACCCAAGCCTTGTTCTGCTTTTTGTAGCTGGGCTGACCCAGGAAGCAAACATTTGTACTTACTTCAAAAGTGCTAACTTCGAGATCTTCGAATTTTCCTGACAGTGATAGTCCTGCGCAGTTGACAAGCATGTCCACTGGGCCCAGTTTCTCCTGAGCCTAAAAAAAAAATAATAATAATAATAATAATAATAATAATAATGTAACAAAGCAAAAGTAAGAGAGAGAAGAAAAGAATCACTTAGCAGCAAATCAAGGCCAGTAAATGAAACCTACAAAACTGTTAAACATACAGGGAAGATTTACCAATTCCAAGTCACAGAGCAAAATGGTAAGAACCAATCAAAAATCAAGCGCTCTAATTCCAGTCAACCCCACCTCTTACTTGTTTTATGACATTCTCTACTTGGTTGTAGTCTTGAGATACATCAACTGAGATACAGAGCACCACCTGTTAAGGAAAATAAATAAATGTCAGAGATATGCAAGTGCTGAAACTAATTTTAAAGTGATTTTCAATTAAAAGCAATCCTCTATGATAAAGGTGGATGATTCTGAATGTACAGATCAGTGACTGAAACCGGTTAGTGATGCAGTTAAGACAGTTGTACCTAGGAATCATGGAATGGGGGTTGGAAGAGCATTGGCACCCATCTGGAATGCCTGATGCTTCACTTTGGCTGAGTGTCCCCACAAAGGCTGATGTGTTGAAGGCTTGATCCCCAGCCTGTGGTGCCACTAGAAAGTAGAAAACCTTTAGAAGAAGGAGCCTGGTGGGAGGAAAACAGGCCACTGGGAGGAGGCCCTTGAAGAGGATACTGGGACCCAGCCTCTTCCTCTGTCTTCACTTCCTGAGTGCCAGGAGGTGAGCAGCTGTGTGGTGGTGTGTGTCTGCAGTCTCAGCTACTTGGGAGGCTAAGGCAGAAGGATCTCTTGAGCCCAGAATTTCAGGGCCAGCCTGGGCAATATAACAAGACTCCATGTCAAATAAACAACAACGAAAAAAGAGACCCATTTCTTTAGGATTTGACAGAGCAGGGTGGAAATTTTTATTTAATGGAAGAAGGAACTGTAGCCAAAAGATTTACATTCCTAAGAAAAGGAAACAGTCCCGATCATAAACACAACCTGGAATATTCTAGACAAGAGGGCTTTGCCCTTGGTTGTAGTATACCCCAAGTAGATTTTATTTCCAAGTCATCATGTAGAAAACATTTTTTAAAAAGAGGATAGGCATCATAGGATTAATTTTAAAATGTGTCTTTTTAATACATTTCACAAAGTATCAGACCATCTGTGGCATAAAACCTATGCCACAGACAAGTGAAATTTCAAAGAAAAATATTAACGAATTATCAGGACAAAAATATCCCCCTGCAGGATCTCCTCACTGGGAAAAACAAGCCAGTCTAGGCAGAAGGATCAAGCTCTCACCCGCCCAGCCCTGATGACTTGCCCCCTCCACAGGATGGAGACAAGTTATCTTCCACCTGACCTAAAGCCCAGAGCAGAGATGGTGCTGGCAGCAGGCAGCACGGCCTTCAGCTACCACCTTCCAGCTTACACCACACTCCTGTCCATCATGAGTCCCGTGAGCACAGGGGAAGCAGAGGTGGTGTCCTTCTGATGTCTCAGAGAATGGGGTACAGTCAGGGGCCACGGGCCTAGGGGAAAACTCTGTGGACAAGGAATTTTATCTGTAGCTTAGACTGCAGCACCGACCCCCCCACACCAAAAAAAAAAAAAGAAAGAAAGTGGAAACAGCTCAACAATAGGGAACTTATTAAACAAACTCTGGGGTCCCCCATATTGTGTGCCATAGCAGTCTGAAAAAATGAGGGAGATTTATTTTTATTGAGATGGAAAGATCTGTATTAAATTCATGAATGGGGAAAAAGCGATTAAAACCACAGTGAAATACTACTTAAAACCCATCTGAAAGGCAAAGCTTAAAAGTCTGCTAATACCAAGTGTCGACAAGGATGCGGAACAACCTAAACCACCACTGACTGCTGGGAGTGAAACCAATTTGGAGAGGGTGAAGACACATGGCTACGTGTACAGCAGCTCAGCAGTTCCATTTCTAAGTATGTACCATTGCTGCACATGTGTACAAAGAGACAGTGCTCTTACAATAGCAAAAACCAAAACAAACTACCAGAAAAAACTAGAAACAACCTAAAAATCCACCCAACAATAGAACCAGTGAACAAAAGGTAGTTTATAATTGAATACCATATAGGAGTAGAAAAATTAAGTGAACTCCTATGTAATGCAACAATATAAAAGGCTTTTTAAAAATAAAATTGAGATCTGGGCGTTGTGGCTTAGTGGTGGAGCGCTTGCCTAGCATGTGTGATGCACAGGGTTTGATTCTCAGCATAGCATATAAACAAATAAATAAAATAAAGGTCCAGCAACAACTAAAAAAAATATATTTTAAAAAACTAAAAAACAAATAATATTGAATGAAGAAAGAAAGTTGTGCAAAAATGCATAAAGAATGATGACATGTCAATCTATGGAGACCGAAAGTACATTAGTGATTGCCTAGGACCGAGAGTGGGTGGAGCGGGAGAGGTGAGATTGCCAGTGGGTGTGGAGATTCTTTATGGGGTAAAGGTAGTGTCCTAGAATTGACTCTGGTGGAGGTTGCTCAACTGTGATCTATATTCAAAAGCAAAGATTGCACACTTCAAATGGGGCGATTTTGTGTGGTGTGCAAATATATCTCAAGAAAGCAGTTTTTTTTTAAAAAAAAAGAAGATGCCAGAGAGTTAAAAAAGAAACAGAACTTTAAAAAAACAAAACAAAACAAAACAAAAAAACCCAACAACAACAACAAAAAAACACTATCAGACCATACATATTTTACTAAGAATGGTAGAAGTTTTTAAAAAAGCAAAGAAGGATCAACACAAAACTCAGGTGGGGGTGTCCTCCAGGGATGAGAGGCTGGTGTGGGGGATACTCTGTTAAACTCCATTTCTTTAACTTGAGTGACAGGTCTCTAGTAACTAATTTGTCATTATGCTTCATCCTCAAATATACATCAGGTGTCCCATTTTATTCACCAAAAAATTCCACAACCAAAAGTGTTTCAAATACCTTATCCTCTTAAGCATTTGTATAAATTTTATTTAAATGAATGAGTCGGCAATGATGGCGCAGGCCTATAATTCCAGTGACTCTGGCTGAAGCAGGAGAATCTCAAGTTCAAGGCCAGCCTGGAAAACTTGGCTAGACCGTGCCTCAAAATTAAAAAAAAATATGGGGCTGGGGGTGTAGGTCAGTGCTAAAGCACCCATGGATTCAATCTTTAGCACCAAAAAAAGAATATATATATATATATATATATATATATATATATATATATATATATAAAATAACTGAAAAAAAATATATATATAAATAAAATAATTGAAATGACCATCTGTCAGGTGTGCAAGAGAGAGTCTATACTATTTTTTTTTTTTTTTTGGTAATAACCTGAGTTCCTAGCCAACTGAAACAATTTCACCTTTTCAAAAACAGTCTGTTTAGTGTAGCTGAGCCAGGAAAATCATAGTTGCTTTCAGTGATCCAGCTGAAGTAACCCTGGTTTTCCTTTCTCCAACTGTATTGATGCTATAGAAAATGCCTCCTGAAGACGGTGCTTTACCTGTTTGTCATTAATAGAGTGCTTTTCGATTTCCTTCTTGGCCTGCAACAGCCTGTCCTGAAAGCAACACAGAACAATTAGAGCTGGTGACTGCATGCCTGACTGCTGGTTTGCTGAAAAGGACAGAAAAAGCAATTGTTTGTATAAGTATTTCTTAAATTCTATAAACTACACAGGACAGCACCTTCATTGAGTAGCTACAGGCCCCAGTCCATGAGAGAAAGAATCAAAATATTTCAAGCTATGAATACATGATAGCCCATTTTCAAATTTATTGCAGAGAAATAGAAAAATAAACAAATTCAAATTGTGAATACTCGGCATGGATTGCTGATGGTGGCTCTAACAAATGTTTTGATCTGACACTATTTAGCAGTGCTGGAAAACGTGAGCGGCTTCACACAGCTGCAGGTGTGCGGGTGCTGGTAAGCCACCATCCAAAGGCCCCCAACGAGAGAAGGGTAAAGCTATGCCCGGCCCATTTCAGAAAACCACTCCTTGACAAGGCAAGCTACCCAGGCAAATGAGTAATTTTCCCAAGGTTTCAATTTTGTTTGTTTTGCTTATTTTTGAGAAAAAAAAAAGACATAGTTTACAGAATCTTAATCTGCCACAGAAGTAACTTAAATATATCCTGAGAAGATAGAAAAGAACAAAAAGGGAGTGGGGTAATTCCCCAGGACACACAAGGTTTCCAATCATGCGTGTGTCTATAATAAAATGATATTGTTCTTTTCATAAAGATACACATAGGACAGCCAAGATCGGTATGAAAAATTACATTAGAAGATAAAGAATTTCTCAAAGCCCAGAGGCTCCCACGAGCTACACCCCCCAATCCCATCATAATGTAGTTCCAGTGAGGAGAGGTGTCCCCTGCCAGACACCTGCAGCACGGGCCTCCCCTACTACTCTTTCATTCATCTTGCATCGAGGACCAGCCTTGTGAAAAAGCTCATAAAATGCATCTTATTGAATCTGTGCTTCCATTCATGTAAGGTGGCTTCCCGGCCAAAGCAAATTAATTATTAGAGAGTCAAAGTATAAATAAAAGGTAGCTAATTCTGCCTTTCCCAGTTTTTGAGAAACAAAAAGTTATGGGTGACAAGCCTGATTCTGGGTCATAATTTGAACACTGTCCCCCGAGGTCCACCCTGGCCTGCCTTTCCCAGGGGCCCTGTTCAGCCGCCCACCCCTACTGAAGCGGTTCATCCCAAAGCCAGGAGGCCATGCTCGCACTACCATCCTCTCTGTCCTTCCCTCATTTCTTCATTCAACAAATCTGTCTTGAGCACCTGCTGTGCACCAAGCATTAAGCTCTATGCTCTGCGCCCAAGAGCAGTGGACACAGTCACAGCCACTTCCTCAGCCTGGCGTGGGGTCAAGAGGACTTTAGGACTGTTCTTATGCACACAGTGTGACTGCTCTGTCCTCTAAAACAACTGTGGCAAGACTAACAGACCCTGGGAAAAAAGAGAAAACAGACCCTGCATCAACCTGGAGTAGAAAATACGTTTGGCCCTAAGTGTCAGGAGGGATGAGAGTCCCGTGGTGCGTGGATTTCACTAGAGATGTATATTCATCACGCCATCAGCAGTCACAGACAAACACTCCACGCCTTTGGGCTTCAGCTTTAGAATGTGAAACACCTATACACCTTCGGGTGTCAGCTTCAGAATCACTGCTGCCAGCACTTTCAGCCTCCTAATGCCCAGGTGCGCTGCTTAACCACACCTCAGCCTATCTCCAGATCCACAATGTCTATGGTAATGTTGTCTGATATGCTACTGCCACTAAATAGATACTTGGTGAGCTGATCTGACTTCAACAGAGAAGTCCTAGGCCTACACACACAGAAAAGAACCAGTAGTTTAAGTATCACAGTCTCATCAGGGAGGGGAGCACTTCCCAGGACAGCTGTGAGTACTAGAACTCTTGGCACAGCGTCTCTGCTTAATTTAAAGCACAATAAGTAAGTCAGCAATAATGAACCAAGAACACCTACCTCATTTCGTGCAACCAGAGTTATAAATGCTCCTTGTTTATAGCACTCAATTGCAATGCACTTTCCAATGCCACTGGAACCTCCTGTAACCTATGAACAAAATAATGACATCTTAGCACTTCCAAACGTTCCTCCATAGGAAGTTCATTAAAATCATTACGATGGGATCGGGGGTATAGCTCAGTGGTAGAACACTTGCCTACACACATGAAGCCCAGGGCTCTACCCCCAGCAGAACAGAGCATAATAGAATAGAACAGAGTAATTATTAGGGGTTCTACAAGAACTGCCCAGTGAGTTAGTGCAAGCATGAAGAACTATACTGTCAGCAGAGCCAACTGTTTTGTTTTCAGTGCTGAACTGTAAAGCACACACCTATAATTTTCTGAGTTCACTAGAGGGAAAGCTAATAAATAATGTATTAGTCTGCCTTGAATTCAAAATCCACATGAATTTTCTTGCCTTACTGCAGGAATATAATATATAATACTATATATTACTATCTATATAATACTACATCTATATAATACTACATCTACAACAGATTGAAAGAGTGGTCACCTGTGCATATCTTGTATTTTAAATGACTCCTTATTATATATGATCAGAATATACTGAAATACCACACTTTTCTTCCTCAGTTCCATTTACCCTTCCATCACAGGGCCTTTGCACGTTCTATTTTTCTTGCTACCAATGCTTTCCTCCTGCTCTTTTTATGTGGGTGGCACCTACTTACCCAGCAAATCTCAGCTCACACACTATTTCCTCAGGTAAGCATTCACTGTAGCTTGATATACCCCCAGCCCACTCTTTAGAACTGCATTCTTTTTTCTTTACTTTATGGTACTCACACAACCCAACAGTCATACATCTGTGTGACTGTTTGATTCACAATCATTTCTCCCATCACCATCCCACAAACTCCACAGAAATCCCAATGCTATTTCCATTCTCCACTATATGCCTAGCACTTGGCACAGGGGAGACTCTACATATTTCACTTAATCAGACAAATGCAGAGCTGTCTTTCTAGTCATTGTCCTGTTATGCCAGGTAACTATTAATGGGTACAGAGGTGGGGCTTTCCCTGGGAGAAGCATTTCTTACATGACATGGAGTCTCGGGGTAAAATGGAGTCTGTTTGGTCACTGCCCATATAGCCTGCCCCATAACAGTTCCTATGCCAATTATATATCTCAAGATACTACATCCTGCTTTTTAAAAGATTATATACAGGGCTGGGCTTAGGGGTACATGTGTGAGATGCTGGATTCCATCCCCAGGTCTGGCAAAAAAAAAAAAAAAAAAAAAGTCATAAAGTCTATGACAAAAAACTAAAGACTTTATAATATTACGTTAAAGAGCAGTTTCAAAATATAGCTATTTCCCTACAGTCAGCCCTTCAGGTTATTTTGAATATTTTACTGTTAGATATAAATCTTGCTTTAGGGAACGTCTCCTATCCCGTGACTTCAACACCATGAAACCCCTCCCACACCGAGGCTTATCTCCTTGTGACTTATAGGCACCCTTCATTTCTCCTAACCTCAACTGGCCACCAGTGGAGAGATTTCTCTGGTGGATAATTAACCAATTATCTATAGAAGGTTATTATAAAAATGAGCCCGTGGCCTGGGCTGAAAGCAGGCTCTGAGGAAGTCTTTACTATCAGGATGTTTCACGGGTTGTTTTGGTTTATTAGATTTCACCAGATAGCAACTAGAAGGGGCCCTAAAAATGTCCCTGTTTTATGATTCTGTGATTCTGTCCTTGCTGCTAAACTGTCCCTCCACCCTATGTCACTCACACACCTCTACTTCCAAACCCTTCTGACCCTGCAGAGCTCAGTTCAAATGTCCCCTCCTTCATGAAGCTTCTCCTGACTCTGTCACAAAGTCCTGCCCTTACCTGTCGATGTCTGCCTGTGAAGTGACTTTACTGACATCCTGGCTCCCTCCAGATTCCACTCAGTTCCTTAAGGACAAATGCCAAGTGCACTTGATCTCTCTCATTCCTAGCACAGAACCTTGCAACAAGCAGTCACTAAATAAACATTTGCCTACATTATTTTGCAAAATGGAATGTGATGCCATTTCCCTAGAAAACAGGATGCTGAAAGAACTTGTAAACTTATTATTATAAAATCAATTAATGCAAGTGGAAATTATGAGTTGTTGAGAAAATTTATATGCTGTGTGGATATTAGCTATAGTTATGGCTGTCCTTTTTCTAGGCTGTATGTAGGGAAGTTAGCTATGTAAATTTGCTGCAGGGCAAAAAATAAGGTTTAAACCCTGTAATTTTTAAGATTTTTGTATAACAGGAGTAGGACTTCCACTTCCGGGTCAAGGTTCTTGGGAAACTACCTTCTAGTCAAGCCAGCTAATTCTTAGAAGGTATCCAAAAACACACTAAGGCCAACTCTGGGCTGTGTTACTCTGAATGTTGCAACTACATGTAGGGGACTTTCAAAATGGCTATAAAAAAAATGGCAAATGCATATTGTCTGACAAGTAGTAACCCAAGTGGGGGACACTAAAGTGACCAGTTTAATTTCCTTTCTGTATCACTCCTCTTACTGCCCATTGCAAAACTGTTTCAATGTTACTCTCTCTTTAATTACACCTTATAATCCTTACTGGGAGCAACAGGAGCTGGCTTACTGCCACCAAAGCTGCTCCCCATCATCCAAAAAAAAAAAAAAAGGGAGGACTGAAACACGCACCAGTGTGTGACATGTGCTGCCTGGGGTCACTACCTACAGACAGATAGCACGGGTGCAGAGGAATCGTCCTATAATTGGTAAATAGCTCCAAATCCTTCATGCTGCCACACTGGCTGACAGTCTGAAGATTAGCTCCTGTGCTGCTCTATGCCTAACAAATCTCAAGTAAATTACACTTTACTCTTTTGAGGATATTAAAAAAGACAGATGGTGAGATCATGTGAATTATTCATGTCAAGCTCACATCCTTTTTAGTGGTTGTATATGTATGTTATTTTTAGTATTAAAGTGGGACAAGAAATTCCTTGTCTGTCCCAACAGACAGGACACTTGTTATCTTACCTGTGACCTGGAACTTAATGGGAAAGAAGACTAGCATCAGGGTTAAATAAACTTTCTTATAAACACTGAATTAAAATTTTCATTCCAATTTTGGTTTTGCATTTTTCCCCTAAGTTCTTCTCTGCAAGCACAAGTTCTGAAAGAATCCAACTTTTAAAGCCAGGTTTTGAGGCACAAGTTCTCTTGTGGATGTGAACCATTCAGAACCTGGTGTGATTATTAGATTTTACTCCCTCTCTCTAGTCAATCTACACCCAACTCCTCATCTTCCACATCAGGAACAGCAGGAGCTGAAAATAATCCCATAGTTTAAAAAAGAAAGAAAGAAAAGAAACAGAAAGAAAGAAAATACATTTTATCATTCACAAACCCTAGTTCAGACTTAAAGCACACTAAAATAAATAACCACCCTATTTTGATTTTGTAACAGTCCAGGGGAGAGGTGAGATGGCAGCAACAGGTATATGTCACCTCAGGCACTAAGATGATATACACTGCCAACTTAGTGACTAGCTCTCCTTATTCATAACTCCGGGCCTCAGTGAGCCTCAGGCTGTGGGGTCCAAACAAGAAAACTGGCGAGAAAGCCAGTGCTGACTGACAGTGAAGCCCTGGGCACAGGGGACAGGCATCCTCTGGGTTTGCGAAAGGTGCCACACTTGCAGAATAGGGACAAGGGAGCTTCTGGTGAAAAACCAAACTATTCACATCTCCTTCAGTCCCGAAGCCCTAGCCACGTCATTTAGCTCATTCTTTCGATTCTGAAATAGTGGCAAAGAATCTCACCGAAGCAGCAATCACGGACACCGAGCTGCGCTCACAGACAGGCAGTGCAGACCCGATAGAGCCGCCCTTGCCTGCCAGACCACTGGGTTCCGCGAGCAGTTTCCCCCAGGTGAGTCACTTCCTGCACTCCTTTGGCAACTGTCCTTTTTGTCCCTCGCACGGGCCACCCTCCAGTCCCGAGCCTCCTCGGCGGGTCCTGATGGCTCGTGACCCCCTTCCCTGCGGTCCACCCTCTCGACCCTGCAGGCCGTGGCTGCCCTCCCCTAGGTCGGCGCAGCACCTTGCGCGCCGCCGACCGCTGCGTCCTTGGCAAAGTTTCTCAGCCACTCTGTTGACTCATCAGGAAAGCCGAGGACCAAAACATCTACATCCCAGGGATGCTCTGGGCACCAAGGAGCAGCTACTGAGGCCCTGGAGCCCGACAACCCCGTCGGCTGGAGTTGATCCCGTCCACCGCAATCTGGCCCCGGGGAGAGCCAGATGCCACGGAGGGCGGGTCCTCGAGGCCGGGCGCCCGGCCCGGAGGGGCAGTGCCAGGGTGGACGGCGGCAGGTGACTCCCCTTTTGCCGTCCATTCCCGGGGACCACGGCCTGGAGGAAGGCTCGTCGGCCTCGGTCGCGGGTTGGCGGAACGGACCGGGAGGTCTGGGCGCAGCAACAGGAGGCCACTCACCACTACGTGCGCCCCTGGCAGGGCGAGAGGCTTGGGGCTGATGAGCGGAGACACCATGTAGAGCAGCAGCACGAAGGCCACGAGGAAGGCGGCGGCCAGCAGCAGCATCGCTCGGCCGAACCGCGGGCCGCGGCGGGCGGAGCGGCACAGGCTCGGGCGCCCAGGCGCGCGGCAGCAGCGGCAGCACTAGCAGCGGCTGCGGCTGAGGCTGGGGGATCACGCGCGGCCGGCGCAGCAGGAGCCGAAGTGTTTGGGTTTGCGGACGAGGGCGGGACGCAGGCCGAGGGGAAGAGGAGGAGCCGGAGAGGGGCGCACCGGGGCGGGGCGGCGCGGCGCAGCAAGGCGCGGCCAAGGGTGGGGAGGCCGTCAGACTCGCAGCAAGGGGCCTGGAGGTCTCCACCCCGCAAGGTGGGGACCCTGCAACCTCTAATCGCAGGTGGGGCCTCCCCGCGCTAGGCGAGCAAGCGACCCTGGGCAGCGCCGCCTCGGAGCGCTGCTGGGAAGGGCCTGGGTGACTTGCTCCGGGAGTGCGCTGAGGTTGCGTCTTAGGACCCCGCAGAGTAGGTTTCCAGCCCTTCCTTCGCCCGGCGCCGGGCCGAGGGCCGCCACCCCTCCATCCTGGGAGTTCCGCCGCCTCCCGATCCGGCCCGCCCGGCCTAGGGGGTGCCCGAGAGCATTCTAAACAGTGGCTGTAGGATCTCGGATCGTGCTCGGTGTGCAGGCCACAGATTAAACGCTGAATCCTAGGTTCCAGTTCATGTTTCCTGGCGAACTTAGAAAAATGGTCACAGCCCACTTTCATTTTTTCAGAGGACCGGGAAAGCCTTCGCAAGGAGTTTTGAAAAATCACTAAGATGATTTGGTTTCGTTGAGCTCAGAGTTCAACTTTCCAAGGCAGGTTCAAAACTAAACAAGTCAGCTTTATGGGGATCTAATTCACGTACCATAAATATGCAATTCACCAATTTAATGTGCATGATAACTGGCATTTAAGTCACAGTTGTGCAACTGTCATCACAATTTCATTCCATTTTGTTACACCCCCAAAGTAGTGTAATCATTAGCACTCAGTCCCCATTTTCTCCCAAACCCTGCCCAGCCCTACGCAATCACTAATCAGTCTACAGATTTGTCTATTCTGGATATTTCATATAAATGGAAACATAATAATATGTAACCCTGTATCTGGATTCTTAGCACGTTTTCAAGGTTCATTCGTGGTAAACAATGTGTAATATTATTTTTTATTGCCAAATAATATTCTATTTTATGGCAATATTGTGTTTTATTTTTCCATTCATTCACCCTCATTAGGTGGTTTCCACTTTTTTGGAATGTGGGATGTAGCTTGGGGTTAGTGTGCTTGCTTTTGTCTAGCGTATTTGAAACCCTGGGATCAATCTCCAGTATATCCTGCCCCGCTCACTACACCTGTGGTACTATGAGCATTTATGTACACGTTATTGTGTGGACATACCTTTTAAATTCTCTTGGGTGTAGATCTAGGAGTGGAATTAACCAGATCTCATGGGAACTCCGCTTAACCAATTGAGGGATTACAGACTTTGCCAAAGTAACTGTACCATTTTACACTCCCACCAACACTTTATGTGAGTTCCCTTTTCTCTACATTCTCACTAATGTTGGTTATCTGTGGTCATACTGTGGTTTTGATGTGCATAAGGCATATATTTTTGTTTGCTTACTTAAAAAAAAAGGAAATGCTATTATAGTACAAATACCAAAGAGCTAAAGAGCAAAAGGAATTGAGTTTTCTTCTTTCTTGACTTACTGTCCAGAATTAAACTGTGAGATTCAAGGGTATAGTCCTCAAGACTTCTAAACCTGTTGGAAGTTTGAGGAGGGGTCTCCAAACCACCTTCAGTGTGATGGTTTGTTGGAGGAGTTCATAGAACTCTTTGAAAGCTATTACACTCATGATTATAGTTTATTACAGGGAAAGGGCACAGATCAAAATCAGCCTAGGAAAGAAGTACATAGGACAAAGTCTAGAGGGTTCTAAATATAGACCTTCTGTTGTCATCTCCCATGGAATTAGGCTGTGTTTCCTTCCCAGTATTGATGCTTGAAATACTGCCTACCAGGGGAGCTCACCTGAGCCTCTTGTGTGAAGAGTTTTTACTGGGGCCTCCCAGAAACCAAGGACAGAGACCAGACCTTCTCTCAAGACAATGCTGAATTCTTAACTACACAAGCCTGGCAAAGTTCTCTCACAGCAAAACAAACACGTGCCTAACACCTAGAAGAACCAGTTTGTAATCAGAGGCTTTTAACTCAATTTCCCAATACATTTGACCATCAGGGTATTATAATCTCACACACGATGCCAGTGTGACACTGTATCACCATATGGTAGTAAATGTAACCTCCAATATAAGAGTCAAAAAGTAGTGGTTCATTAGAGTTCTGAGCATCCAGCAATAGTTGGTCCAGCTCATCATCATAGCATATAACCAAAGTGTCTCCCAGAACAATGCCACTCAGGCTGGCAAGTTTCCATTTGACCCTTTTGGGGCTCAGAGAATTATACCTCAAAGAATATGGCACTTTGGAGCACAGTAAGAGTTTGTCCAAAAGGAAAAGCTTATCTTGCTTCTGCCCACGCAAGCTTAGGAAGAGACTCCCTGGAATACCCTTATCTGTATTCAGAGCAGACTGCAAAAAGAAACACAGTTGCCTTCCACCCCCACCCCAATCCCATCATCTATCTCAGGAAAGAAGACAGAAATGTAACCACACCTGGATGGACTCTCATATGACATCTGTCTCTCAGGTTCATTCAGATTCCAAAAAGAATATTTTTACAAGCTATTTTCTGTTTTATTATCCCCTAATAATCATCCATAACTCCTCAAAATTGTCTGCATTCTTCATTTCCCCTTCCCCTACAGAAAAAAAGGGGTATATATATGGTTCTGAGTGAGGCTTAGCTAGTGGGTAACTACCTCCTGTGATAAGCCCTATGCTCTGTATTCCCTTTTGCACATGAATAAAATGTTTTTGATTTCTCTCCTATTTAATATTTGCTCGTTTGTTCCAGTGAAACTTCAGAGGAAAGAGGACATTTCCCTGGCCCCTGCAATTCTATCAGTTTCCCCAATCAGGACAGGTTCCTCATCCTTCAGGAATCTGGTATAATTGAGCTAAGAAATAATATTGTATTTGATTCCTGAGTGTGTTAAGGCGCTGGATCTCAGATCAGGTCCTGGAACAGAAAAAGGACATGCAAGGACAAGTTGTTGAAACTACAAGTTGTAGTTTGGCTATTGTTGTCGTACTAAGGAAAATTTCTTTGTGTGAATCAGTGCATCAGCCTTATAGGTTTCCTTTAGAGGATGTTCTTGGGTTACATAGGAACTCTCCATCTTTGATTACTTCTGCCCATTCAGGTACTGATCTGTAATAAATATCCTCCTCTAAACTCCAGCTCTGGCTGTTTCTGGGGAACCAACCTGTGGACGTACACCATACAAACCTTAACCAGACAACCTCCCTTCTTAGGTATTATGAAATCCAGATGTGAATTGCTTTTTTCAAATTTTTACATTTGAATTATATGAAAGGTAAAAGGAACCTGGTTAGAGTCTAGGATTCTAGATCCAACTGCAATAAAAAAGAAAAAAGTGTACTTTTGGTATTATTCTAGAATAATTTATGAAACCTCAAGTGTTTGCTGGCCCTTTGTTGTTTTATGGACATTAAATGGTCTTGTTCTGCATACCAGCCGGGGCTCTTCTCTGAACAGTTGTAGTGTAAAATACGTGTAACTATTAATTTGATAGGTTTAGCAAAGAAAAGCTCCAAAGCGCAAGCCAACCAAATTTGATCTTATTCCAGGTGACCCAGTTGTGCTTCCAGGTCATCAGCAACTACAGGACCAGGCCAGGGTGAGGTGAATGAGGCACTCAGTCCACTCTGGCACAAAATCAAGGAGATGCAAACAAACATGCAGTAATCAAGATCAATAATATTTTAAGACAATAGCCTTTATAAGAACAAAATTAATGAAAAAAATTTACAATGAAAAATATCAAAATTTTTAATAAAATTTTTTAAAACATGACTGACTGAATGAAAAACAACTTTGTAATGGGTTTACTTACATTCTTACTGCCATCATCTCCTTCATGGTCCATATTAATTATTGATTACAGTGTTTTTCCTGATTTAGAAAATAATAAATGTACTCATTAGAATGGCTATTATAAAAGAAAGCCAAACTCAAGTGGACAAGGACAAGTGTTGACAAGGATGTAGCAACTGCATTGTTGGTAGGAATATAGAATGGCGTAGCCACTGTGGAAAAGTTTGATGGGTCCTCAGAAAGTTAAACATAGAATGACCATGTGACCCAGCAGTTCCATTGCTAGTTGTGTACCTAAAAGAATGGAAACCAGGAACTCCAATGGATACTTGCATAACAATGTTAATAGCAATAGTATTCACAATAGCTAAAGGTGGAAAAACCCAAATGTGCACCTGCAGATAGATTCATAAACATAATATGGTATGTTCACACAATGGAATAGTATTCAGTCTTAAGAGGGAATAAAATTCTGCCCCAAACTACAACATGACTGAAACATGAAGACATGAGAGCAGTGAAACAAGCCAGACACTAAAGGCTGAATATATAAGAGAAATCTTACAATATTCAGCCTGCTGTGTCTGACTTACTTCACTTAGCACAATGTAGAAATAGAAAAATTCATAGAGTCAGAAAGTAGACTAGAGATTACCAAGGGCTGGAGAGGTGGGAAAGCAGGAATGGGGGGAGGATATTGTTTAATGGGTACAGAGCTTCTGTTTGGGATGATGAGAAAGTTCTTGAAATGGTTAGTGCCGTTGGTTGAACAATGCTGTGAGTGTACTTAATGCCACTAAACTATATACTTAAAAACGGTTACAATGGTAAATTTTATGTTACATATACATAATAAAAAAAAACCCAAATGCCTAATTCATAACATTTAGAAAATAAAGAAAAAATTTAAATCCCTCTTAATTCAGTGTCAGAGAGGAGGGGTTGGGGGTAGACAGGCCATTTGCATTTGGCTCTGGAATGCCTCAGGACACTTCTCCAGGTGACCTCATAATTCTTGGAAGGGTTTATTTCGATAATCATTTTTCCTCTTATGTGAAAGTAGACAGGAATATTTGTGCTCCCTTATAGCAGAATCACCTAAAAAATACTTTCCTTTCTCATAGTTCTCCCTACCAACAAATCCTTGTCCCAAGTCACTGAAGAGATTAATGCTTTTGAGAGCAACAAGAGAGAAGGACATTCGAATGCAGGGAGGGGGGCACAGGTCTCAACTCACCAGGGTGTTGATGATGGTCTAGGTCGAACCTATCAGTCCCCCTACCCCGGGGGCAGCAAGCTGGGCAGGTGGCTGAGCCCAAATAGGATGGCAGGCTTGGGCCTTGGCAGGCACTAAGCAGCTGCAGCCTTGACAGAGGTTCTTATGATTCATTCCTGGTGTAGAAAGGGAATGCTGCGAGAGGCCTATGCACTTGCACAATAAAAATGTTGGTGACAGACTTGAGGGATCAGAGGTTTATCTCCCATTCTGGGGACCATAGAACACTCTTGGATTTTGGTACAATCCTTTGAGAAAGCAGAAGTCAAATAAAGACTAACAGATCTTTCCTGACAGCATGGCAGACCTGGATTTAGTGATAATGTAAAGGGATGATTTGAGGGAGCAGTCGACATCACTTTGAAGTTACCTGGGGAGTGCCAAAGACTTAAACATTCACTGCAAGCTGGAGACTCACCTAACAGTAAAACAAGAATTGTCAAAGTGTTTTATCTACTTTGTAGTCAAATCTAAAGTAGAAGGCATCTGGGAAAAGTAATGTTCTGTGTAAAAGAGGGGTGTGTGTGTGTATGTGTACTTTTACTAAGCTTCTAGAAATATTGCCCTGGAAAGAAATAGCTATTGATAGCTGTACCCACACTATACCTGTTAACCACTTGTAGCATCACCCTTCCCATTCCCATGTAGCTACTACCAACTTCTTCCATTTTAATATTTTCATTTAATAATCTCGAGCTTTTTTGCATGTCAGTACTTTTTCATGTAATCACATTTTGTTTAATATGGTGTTTCAAAAGTTTTGTGATCTGAATTACAAAGTATGACATCTTAACTTTTTTTTTTTTTTTTTTAGTTGTAGAGGAACACAATGTCTTTATTTATTTTTGTGGTGCTGAGGATTAAACTCTAGGCCTCATGTGCCAGGCAAGCACTTTACCACTGAGCCACAACCCCAGCCCCACAAAGTATATTTTAGGCCTTTAAGAATGTGCTGACGATTTTATAAGTCTTTGGAAAACAGGACTGAAATATGCAAGTCTTACAGTTTTGGCAATCTTTCAAGACACAGCTATTCCAAAATCTAAAGTATCTACACTGGAATATCTTATAGCCAAGAATGGTGTCTGATTGTAACAGAGGGAGCTACATGACTTTGTTCACAGATTATTCACAGATCTGTGTTAAGTGTATGGGAAATGCAGAAATTCTATGATTGTACGTTTTCAAAATTGGCTCCATGCTTTGCCGCTTCCAAAATTAAAGTTCATTCTTCATTCCTTTTTTTAAAAAAAAAAATTTTTTAGTTGTAGATGGACACAATATTTTTATTTCACCTATTTATTTTTTATGTGGTGCTGAGGATCAAACCCAGTGCCCCAGGCATATGAAGCAAGTTCACTACACTGAGCCACAACCCCAGACCATCCTTCATTCTTATTTAACCACATTTGCTTTGTGTGAGTATGTGTATGCATACTTTTTGCTGAATAATTTCTAAGTAAGGTGAGAACAATCTTAGCATGGTAATTCATTCCTTAAGTGCATACTTCAGCATGGATCTCCTAAATTAGGGGCACAGCCCAACCAACACAATCAATGCCATTATCATGTCCAAGACAGTTCAGAACAATTCCATAATATTGTATCAGTCCATATTCATATTTTTCACTTGCACCAAAATTCTTTTACCATTTTTTCCAAACTAGGATCTAATCAAGGTTCAAATATCCTGTTATTATCTTCAATTTCATTTAATTTAGGTGAGAAGAGTACCTCAAGCTTTTCTTCTCTCCTAATGACATTGGCGTTTTCTATAAACCAGGCCAGTCATTTTCTAGAATGACCTACGTTCTCTTTTGTCTGATTGTTTCCTTGTGGTGCTATATATTTTTCTCTCCCCAGCATTTTCTGTAACCCAACAATTAGGACTACTGCTTGATTAGACACAGATTACACATTTTTGGTAAGAGAACTTCATGAAATGTATTTCATGTTGCATCTCACTTGGAAGCACATCCCTATCTTCCAACTCACATGCTCTTCCAATGTCATCTTGACATTCCTCCCAGTGTCCAGTGGGACCCTTGTCCTCTTCCCTTCAAATTGGGTGGGATTCTGTGACTATTTCAACCAACAGGCTACAGCAGAAGTGACATTATATGACTTGTGAGGCTAGCTCACAGGGGGTGGTAACAGCTTGGCTTTGCTGCCTGGCACACTTACTCCTGTAGAATTGTCACAGCCACGAGACAGCAGCCTGACTGCCCTGAGGTCACCATGCTGTGTGGAAGCCCAAGCTTGTCCATGGGGAGAAATCACTCCAAGAGGCCTTGAGCTGTGCTACCAGCTCCCAGAAGCTTGGCCCCTGCTATTCCAGCTCCTGCCAGTGTCTGAATGCAACTGGCAAGGGACTCCTAACCAGAACTGCCCAGCCCAGCCCTTCCTAAATCCCCAATCCACAGAAACTGACAGAAAATAATTGTTACTTTAAACCTAAAGTTTTGGGATGTCTTGTAATGTAGTGATATGAACCACAATAATTGGAGTTACCTGCATGTCTTCTTATACTCATCAGTTTTTTGCCAGACATTATTATTTCTGTTCCTTCCACCTGTCAAAAGTCTTGGTAAAGAGACTGGGTTGTGGTCTTCTCCAGGAACACTGTCGCTTTGTGGGTGATTCTCCCGTGATAAATCTGCTCCAGCATTTCTATTTCCTGAATATATCGAACACTTATATTGGTAGAGTGTCCATTGTCAGGTTCAGTTTCTTCAGCCAGTCAAGCCAACAATTAAAACCACTCTTTCATTGATTGAGCCTATATTGGTATATTCAAATTTATCTGAAATTTGAAACTCAGATTCTGTGTGCCAACATAATCTGTTCTCACACATCTTTCAAAATCTCACAAACATATATTGCAGTACTAAAGTCTTGCTCTTTTCCTACTCATTTTTCTTGCTTTTACATAAAAACTTGGTAAATCTGTGAATTCAACTGATGTAATTTGGCAACCCTCAGGACAAAATACTGTTTGGCTTTTGATGATTTTAGCTCTGTGGCTGCAAGGAAGGTTTTTAGCAGTCATATAAAATCCCTGGGGTTCCACCCCTGCACCTTGATCCCAATCAGCTGTCCTTGAAGTTCTCATGCTTTTGCTTTGTCCTCACTGTACACTTGATTCCCTGACGCTAGTGTTATTAGCTGTCTTGCAACTTACCAGATTACCACTAGCTGCTGCTGTTGGCTACAATCCTAGTTTGAATGGCTTGTCCTCTTTGTTATGTGTGCAAAATTGAAGAACCTGTGTGTTACCTCTGATATGCCAAGGCTAGGTCAAGAGCCTATGTTTGCTGCCAAGTGATAAAGAAAACAGGATCTCCCACTTAGGTTCCTGCAGTGCGTGGGAGGCCAGCGCATCGCCAAACCAGGGAGGCAGTTTGGGTGAGCAGCACCTCTCTGAAGTATTTTCGTTTAAGAACTATCTTTGTGGTTCTGGTTTTCTGTCTTTTAAAAATATTTTGTCATTTTATAGGGTTCCAGAGGAGATTAATTCCTATGGTTAGCTGTCAATCTGTCCTTCTTTAGATCATGTTTTCTCCTATATAGAAGTTCCCCAAATAAAGATGCATACACAGAATATAGTCAATAGAGATTACATCAATTTACTTCACATAAGAACAGCGTATTTTGGGCCTATGATTTCTATTTAATATCAACAAAAACAATCTGTACAGAAAACCCAAAGGCATAATATGTAAAACCCATAGCATAATATGTAAAATGTGCAAAAATACTTTAAAATGCAAGTTACTATATAGCATTTGCAAGGTAGAATTTATAGTAATTAAGGACTCTACCTCATTCTAGCTAATTTAATAATCTTTTGCATATATGATCAATGCAAATGTACAAGGCACAACTTAGTGTTGATGCTGAAGTGTGTAACACATACCTTCAGAATATTTATTTGAAGATTTTGGAAAAACATTATTATCATGTTTATATTTTATTATATGAACATCAGTTCATTTCTAAAGGTTCATAAGTGTTACACTGATAACATATATCTTTCAAGGACAAACTGTTTCCTGAACTTAAAGGATGAAAGACAAGACCCCTGTTACTTTATATTTTTTAAAAAATTTATATATATATACATATATATGTACACACCCACATCACACACAGGAAACTTCCCATAATCCAAAGGGAGGCCACTTTCTTATTGGTAAAGATTCCCATTACAGTATTTTATGACAGTAATTTTAAAAATTCATACTTATTTACCACCTGTTTTGGTCAATCTTGCTACAAAAAGACAATGGGATTGACAATTTTATTCTTCAAGGTAAAGACAATGCCTAATTTAGAAAGTCTTTCTCTTGAGATCGCACAGTGAAAGGAATCATTTAGTTAAATACAAAATCTTGCTTTCTTTAAAGAAATTACTTTAATCTATACAGAAAAAAAAAATCAACCTATTAAAATCAATAAGAGCACTGGCTATAACACAATTCAAAATCTTTCTAAACCAACCACAGTACTCTTTATTGTTTTATTGCCCATCCCTGAGAGTAAAGTTTCTATTATTTCAAATTTTTTAATGAAGTAAATTTCACATTGATAAGAATGTTCAACAATTTATTTTCAAAATATAAAGCCCTATTTCATTTTATTAAAAAAAAAAGTCAAATGCTCTTTGCTAAGTCCACCACTCATAAAAAATTCTAAATATTTGTGTCAATCAATGTTCAATATTCTTTTTACTGGGTAATTTCTAGTTTCATGCCATTTACATTTTACTCATTTCCTTATAAATGCATTATTTTACAATTTTTGTTAGTTGGAGTATTTAATAAGTAATGGAGGAAAGTATAGTATAAAACTTAAAGGAATCTGAAGTGAGATGTATATTTCCCTGTAGTACAAGAGCTTAACTGGAAATAATTGGATGCCACCCAAGAAAGGCAAAAGTATCTATGAAAAGAAAGAATACATATGGTAAACGTCTTCCTTGTTGTCTTTGGTTTAGCCTTCTTGGCCAAAATCTTCTGTAAACTTCTTTAACTTCAACAAGTCATGTTCATTGACTGTAGGTTTTGTATTCGATAGCGACCGTAACATATCCGACTGTCAGGGAGAGGAATGTGGGGATGGTATGAATGACAGATCTAATAAACCAAACATCATGGAAGCATCATCATTATCGTTACCAACTTTAACCTAAGGTAAAATATGAATATGCACAGTGCCATAAGCTACTGACGACAAGTTCCCCTATTCTTTCTAGAGAACATCTGAGATCATGTCATTCCTTGGTGTAGAAACTTTCAATTTCTTCCCTGGTCCTGATCTAACCCTCCAATGCTCCCAGATACCCATGAGAAGGATGACCCCATCAGCCTGAGGTTTTAAGACTCTCTACACCTGGGTCAGGATGTAATTTCTGGCCTTATGGTTTTCTTTAAAAAGATATCAGTTCCCTCAGTAAATACAAATTCAAAAGGAAGATAGTAATTTACTACAGATCTCTCTTCAATGACTTTCTCTAAATATTCCTTATATCATCATACAATCTTATAAATTATTTTAAATCTTCCAATATAAACTATAGAAATGTTTTTTGTAGTAAAATTATTACTACTTTTAAATTGCACTTACTGAATTTTACTACAAAAATACATTTCTATAGGGCAGTCATTTATACTTTAAGTGAAGCAGACTAATATTATTTCAAAATCAAGTAGCCAGAATTTTAAAAAATTACACTTAAGATTGAAATATAAGAAAATATGCTAATATCAGAGATACATTAAAAAAACAAATGTCTTGGCTGGGGATGTGGCTCAAGCGGTAACGCGCTCGCCTGGCATGCACGGGGTGCTGGGTTCGATCCTCGGTACCACATAAAATAAAAATAAAGATGTTGTGTCCACCGAAAACTGAAAAATAAGTATTAAAAAATTCTCTCTCTCTCTCTCCTCTCTCTTTAAAAAAAAAAGCAAAAACAAGCAAACAAACAAAAAAATGTCTCCTATAAAACTGTGTAAGGAAAAGTGATGAAAAAGACCATTGTTAAGTTACTGTAAATTCTTCAAAGCTGTTGAACAGACTATAAAAACTTTTAATAGCAACACATCAAAGATTCAAACAAAAAAGGATTTCTGAACAACTTTGCAGATAAGCATAATTAACACATACATATATGTACACAAACATGTATGTGCATATGTCTACATTGTCTGTTATGTCTGTCTATATATCATGAAAGTTTCTTCTAAGTTACTGTTAAACCTTATCATAATGCTCCTTTAGCTGAAGCAGAAAATTTTGAAAAATTCAACAATAAGAAAACAAACAATAATAAACATAACTTTTCAATAACCCTAAGTTCTCTAAAAATATACCTTATAAAAATCATTTTAATTCCTGCACTATAAACTAAAGAAATATACTTTTTGTGGTTAAAACTGTTTAGTCAATTAAATTTTTTTTTTAAAGAAAAAGAGTTAAAAATGTTCAAATTTTTAAAATCTCTATTATTTATACTTCTCATGGAGCCTTGAGAAGTAAAACAGAAAAATACCCTATAATTAACATTTCTGGTTATTTTGAAAAATGTGAGTCTTAAAAATAATTTATATACTATATATGAGCTTTTGGGGGGATGATCCAGCTTTAAGACCTATAAAATCAGAGAACTGTAGTTTTTAAAGTAGGCTTTTTGCCCATAGCATAACCCCAGTGACTACGATCCTAGAGACTAAGCAGGCCGAGGCAAGAGAATCCCAAGTTAGAGGCCTGCATGGGCATCTCAGCGAGACTCCCTCTCAAAATAAAAAACCAAAAGGGCTGGGCATTTAGCTCAGTGGTAAAGCATTCCTGAGTTCAATCCTCAGTACCGAAACAAAACAAACAAAAAGCAGCTTTTTCACTTGAAGTTCATGTCCCAAGAAAATATTTTAAAGATAATCATTTTTATATTTTGAGTTTGATTAAGGTCGATTATTGCCGATAGTGGTGGCACAGGCCTGTAATCCCAGCGGCTCGGGGGGCTGAGGCAGGAGGATTGTGAGTTCAAAGCCAGCCTCGGCAACTTAGCGAGGCCTGAGCAACTCAGTGTGACCCTATCTCAAAATAAAATATTTTTAAAAAAAGGGCTGGGGATGTGGCTCAGTGGTTAAGTGCCTCTGAGTTCAATCTCCAGGACCAAAAAAACAAAACCAAAAAACGTAAATTATCTTTATAATTTTTATAATAGTATTAAGTAAACGAGCCTAAACATACTAACATTTCTAGCAAATCTTATACAATATAATGTTTTAAAATATTTCTTAAAAACAAATAAAATTTCAAACCATGGAAACAACTGGTTCCAGAAGTTTATCTCCAGGGACATCCATCCATGTCATTTCAATGGCACCGGGATCGCCTGGAGAGCACGGTGTCAGCAGATCATCTACAATGCTGTTAGGATCAGCTTGGGAAGGTCCACGAACCTGTAAGAAACCACCAATTGAAACATTTACTTGAACAAATTAAATAAAAATCAAGACTTAGGTCACTAACAGGAAAACTAAAAGTGTATTAATATTTTTTTTATGTTGCATTAAAATTTTTACTTTAGGACAGATTTTGGCTGATTTAAATTTTTTTCTTGACTTTTTCTACATTTTGATTATATTTATAATACACTGTATTATGGGGGGGGGTTAAGGAAGAAATAGTTACAGTAGTTATACTTTCCTGTTGCTTCCTCTAATGCTTATTAAGTGATAGTAATCTTAGAGATCAAAAATAGACAAGTTAAAAAATTTTTTAAGTTACTATTTTCATGGCCGAGAAATGTGATGCCTGGCAACTTTAGTCTGAAATTACTGAATCTTTTGTCTCTTTTAACAAAACCTTTTCCAAATATAAGTACAAAATCAAATGCTAACAATTTCTGATACATAACTTGTTAAAATAAAATTTTAACAATATCCAGAAAATGAAGCATTGTGACATAGAGTCACATGATACTATTCAGATAGCAATAGATTTGTATCAAATTGGGGTTGCTTTCATGTATGTCTTATCAAGATCAACTTTTAAGTATTATTTTAGGATTGGTGCAGGTGTGGAGAAACACGCATTCTCAGTTTACTTATGTATATTCGACTGTCTATCTTTCCTTTTCCAAATTTCAGCTGCATGAAGTCAGAAGTATTTTTCATTTTTCAGCTGCTGTACCTTCTTCTAACTCTGAGCCCAGATTTACACTTTAGACATATGATTAAGTAAATTAATAAAAGGGCAAACCAATTCTTGCTAATTGAAATAGTTAGCCTTAAAAACAGAGAAAATGATGGCCAAGAAATATATGAAAAAATCTTTAGCTTCAGTAGCAGTTAGGGAAATGCAAATCAAAACTACATTGATCTCACTTCAGTCTGACTAGCAATTATCAAGAATACAAATAATAACAAGTGTTAGTGAGGATGTGGGGGAAAAACTATACTCATATATTGTTGGTGGGACTGCAAATTAGTGCAACCACTCTGGAAAGCTTGTGGAAGATTCCTCAAAAAGTAGGACTGGAACCACCATATGACCCAGCTGTCCCACTCCTTGATATATATCCAAAAGATCTAAAGTCAGCATACTACAGGGATACAGCCACATTAATGTTTATAGCAGCAAAATTTATAATAGCCAAGCTATGGAACTAACCTAGATGCCCTTAAACAGATGATTGGATAAAGAAAATGTGGTACATATACATATTGGAATATTACTCAGCTATAAAGAATAATGAAATTATGGAATTTGTTGGTAAATAAATAGAACTGGAGACTGTCATGCTAAGTAAAATAAGCCAGACCCCAAAAGTCAAAGGTTGAATGTTTTCTCTGCCACGTAGAAACCAGTCTAAAATAAGGTAGCGGTGGGGGGTGGGGAGAGGTTTGGGGGTAGTTAAAAAAAAAAAAATCAGTGGACTAGATTGCAGGTGGGCAGGGACCAGGTAAGTGGAATGAATCTAAATTAACTTTCTTATGTACATATATAAATATACCACAGTGAATCTCACCATCATGTATGTCCATAAGACACTAACTAAAAATACACAAACAATAAAAAACAAACAAACAAACAAAAAACCCAACAACCCTATAAGTACATAGCACAAAGATCAGTAAAGCAGAAGAAAGAGAACTAGGCAGTGGAGGATGGGGGAGGCAAGGGAAAGGGGGAGTACTGGGGACTGAATTAGAGCAATTTATATTCCATGCTTTTATAATAATGTTAAAATGAATCCGAATGTTAAAAAAAGAACCAAGTGGGGGGAACCCAGTGGAAAATATGGAGCCACAGAGATATCTACTGTAAATGGTGATCCAAAGCCCCAGTGTTAAAGACAATCTGGGTGCTTCACTTTTATGCTACCAACAAGGACCTTTCTTCATGGTTATATGTCCTGACCCTGGTAGTTAAGACATAAAATGGAGTGATAAATTCTGGATAAAATTTATTGCTTCCAAATGTCAAAGAGAATTTAAAAGAAATATAATGGCTGTGGCATCAACTTAATCCTAAGCTTACTATATTTCTTGGTAAAGAAATGGCTGAAGAAGATAAATAGGTAGCATAAACAGTGTTTTATGAATATTATTTCATTTTATTCTCACAACAGCACTTAAATGTTTATCTCCATTTTAGATAAATGAGACTTAAATAGGTAAACCATGATTCCTGGCTTTAAGTTAAAATTTTAATTCAAGCTCTAACTTTAAAAAAAAAAAAAAAAAAAAAAAAACTTTAGTATGGTATATTGGTCTTATATACTGTGTGATTACTTTTTCTAATAGTATATGTATATAACACATACATATATAACTGTCACATATACTACTATGAGTAACACTAGATATTACTACCCTCAAGCCTCAAGATGGCTGGACAGAGTTACCTAGTCCACTGTTACTTAAGTCAGGATCTCAAGACCAGGTCTTTTTACAACACTGTTATCTTAGCCATCTATGCTCCAACTTCCTCAAGCAGGTAGAAAAGTGCATGGCAGGACAGCAGAATGGTTGTGACTTCAGTACACTTAGAAACAGATCACACCTCTGCCCCATTCTAGTTGTAATACATTAGACAAACTGTTAGATCCAAGTAACAGATGAATGGCTATGTGCACCTCTTTGTTTTTGTGAGGACCAAATGAAATAATAATGGAGTGCAGTGCCAGACAATGGGAATATCTAATAGACATGAGCTTGTATTATTGTTCTTCAGGTATAAATGTACCAATTCTGCTCAAGGTTTTTCTAGCTACATCAGCAGCAGCCTTACAACTATATAAATTTGTACACTTATGTCTAAATTATATGGAGAAATTTCAAGTTATTACTTAGAAAATCTTAAGTCACTTTAGGACTATCCATGGTTATTAATAAACTTTATTGGAGAACTTATTTTCAACACAACAAAAAAAGTCTATTCTATAAACCCAACTATTATATTTATATTTATATATATATATATACACACACACACACACACACACACAACACTGAACTCTAACTCCTCTGAAGACAAACTAATGATGGTCTTGAAACTTCATCTTAAAAATACATGAAAAGTTATTTACCTTTTTGAAATGCGTAGCTGACTGCACTTTTCTAACAGGTTGCATAAGTGCATCACGTACAATGATGCTTATATCTGCTCCTGAGTAGCCATCGGTTTTCTTCCCAAGATCTCGGAAATCAGCTTCTGTAAGGCTATTTTGAGTGGCGCCCAAGTGTAATTTAAACATTGCTGCTCGGGCATGGGCTTCCGGCAAAGGAATATAAATTCGTTTCTCAAATCTTAAAAAAAAAATATCAAGGATATTAAAACATATACTAATTTTAACTGAAAATTAGGTTTTTTTCAAGAAGAAACAGATATTTAACATTCTCAGTTATACCAACTGGAACAATGTGCCAGACTTAAACATATGCATTTAGGTTAAATAAAGGACACATTAAAAAAAACAAAGTAAAAGTAAAATAGCTAGGAAACCAGTTTGGAATCTTTCTCATACAATTTTTGGGTAATTTTGGCCATAGTGTTTACATGCCTGGAATTCACTGATTTTGTATACTGGGGATTGAACACAGGGGCTCTTTACCACTGAAGTATATTGCCAGTACTTTTTACTTTTGGGACAGGCTAAGTTTCTGAGGCTGGCGTTTAACTTGCAATCCTCCTGACTCAGCCTCTGGAACTGCTGGGATTATAGATGTGTGCCACTGCACCAGGCTTATATCTTATAAAAAGATATATCCTACAGAATAATATTTCTAAAAAAATTGTTCTTTGATCTCTTGATCAAAGAATTAATGCATAATATAACAGAGATAACAAAAATTTTCTAAATTTAATAGTAAAATTAGTCAAACTCTTATAGAATAAACATTATATAACATGTCTGCTTTATTATAATGAGTATATTCAAAAATCTTATATCATAAATAACAAATACTATGCTTTTATTAATAGTCATTTTACATACTTAGAATTTCAGTATTTGGAGATAGGGAGAAAGTGATGAAGGACAACTTAATTGGTCTTTGTAGACTTTTCTCCTTTAGGTAACTCTCCATGGCTATGAGATTTTAAAAGTTTTGTTACTTTTAGAGATGGGTTTGGAATCAGGCTATTTTTCAAAAGTACCTAACATATTTCCTTTCTTGGTACTGACTGGTAATCTAGCATATTAGCAAATCAAACCATGAATGGGATAAAAGTGGCAAGGACTGAAGTGTTTTTTTTTTTTTTTTTTTAAACCATGCACAATTAAATTCAAGGGAGTTATGAAGCAGTGAAAAGTGAAGTCTTCCTACCTTCCCTATAACTGAATTTTCATATTCAACTTAACAATTACTGACTTAATTTTTCTTTTACTAAAAAATCTATGTTATTTGTACTTGTATAATAATCATTATATAAAGATTTTATATGAAGGATTTTCACTGAATGTCATACCTTCGTCGAATGGCAGAATCCAGAACCCAGGGTATATTTGTAGCTCCCAGAACCAAAATTCCATCATTGTCCACACCAACCCCTGTATTAAAATAGGTAATATTTTAAATAATTGGGTCATTATGGTGTTTTTAAAAAATTGTCTGTATGTTCTGTTAAGAAATGTAGTGATTCAGCATTGAAGTGCCTCATCTTGAGTCTCTCTGAAAAACCATCTATGCTCAATCAAATGTCATATTAGTATAATATAATGCAAATATTCCCAAGAATCAAACCTCCTAGATTACAGATGAATACTTTTCTTTTTTTGTTTTGTTTATTTCTCCCACTTTTAAAAAATTTATGTATGACAGCGAATGCATTAAAATTCTTATTACACATATTCAGCACAATTTTTCATATCTCTGGTTGTATACAAAATATATTCACACTAAATCATGTCTTCAATCATGTAATTTGGATAATAATGATCATCACATTCCATCATCATTTATAATCCCATGCCCCCTCCCTTCCCCTCCAACCCCTCTGCCCTATCTAGAGTTCATCTATTCCTCCCATGATCCCTCTCCCTATCCCACTATGAATAAGCCTCCTTATGTCAAAGAAAACATTCGGCCTTTGGTTTTTTGGGGTTGGCTAACTTCACTTAGCATTATCTTCTCTAACTCCATCCATCTACCTGAAAATGCCATGATTTTATTCTCTTTTACTGCTGAGTAATATTCCATTGTGTATATATGCCATATTTTTTTAATCCATTCCTCTATTGAAGGGCCTCTAGGTTGGTTCCACAGTTTAGCTATTGTGAATTGTGCTGCTATAAACATTGATGTGGCTGTGTCCCTGTAGTTTGCTGTTTTTAAGTCCTTTGGGTATAGACTAAGGAGAGGGATATCTGGGTCAAATGGTGGTTCCATTCCCAATTTTCCAAAAAATCTCCATACTGCTTTCCATATTGGTTGCACCAATTTGCAGTCCCACCAGCAGTGTGTGAGTGTACCTTTTTCCCCATATCCTTGCCAATACTTATTGTTGTCTATATTCATAATAGCTGCCATTCTGACTGGAGTGAGATGAAATCTTAGAGTGGTTTTGATTTGCATTTCTCTAAATGCTAGTGATGATGAACATTTTTTCATATATTTGTTGACTGATTGTATATCATCTTCTGAGAAGTGTCTGTTCAGGTCTTTGGCCCATTTATTGTTGGGTTATTCATTTTTTGGTGTTTAACTTTTTGAGTTCTTTATATACCCTAGAGATTAGTGCTCTATCTGATGTGTGAGGGATGAAGATTTGCTCCCAAGATACAGACTCTCTATTCACCTCACAGATTGTTTCTTTTTCTTTTTTTTAAAAAAGAGAGAGAGAGAGAGAGAGAGAGGGAGGGAGGGAGGGGGGGAGAGAGAGAGAGAGAGAGAGAGAGAGAGAGAATATGAGAATTTAAAAAAAATATTTATTTTTAGTTTTCGGCGGACACAACATCTTTGTTTGTATGTGGTGCTGAGGATTGAACTCGGGCCGCACGCATGCCAGGCGAGCGCGCTACCACTTGAGCCACATCCCCAGCCCCAGATTGTTTCTTCTGCTGAGAAGAAACTTTTTAGTTTGAGTCCATCTCATTTATTGATTCTTGATTTTAATTCTTGTGCCAAAGGAGTCTTATTAGGAAGTTAGGCCTAATCCCACATGATGGAGATTAGGGCCTACTTTTTCTTCTATTAGACACAGGGTCTCTGCCAGACCTTAAACTATACTATAGAGTAATAGTAATAAAAAAAGCATGGTTATTGGCACCAAAACAAACTGGTACTGAATAGAGGACAGAGAGACCAACCCACAAAATTACAATTATCTTATATTAGACAAAGATGCCAAAAACATGCATTGGAGAAAAGATAGCCTCTTCAATAAATGGTGCTAGGAAAACTGGAAATCCATCTACAACAAAATGAAATTAAACCCCTATCTCTCACCATGCACAAAACTCAAGGGCTGGGATTGTGGCTCAGTGGTAGAGCACTTGCCTAGCACGTTCGAGGCCCTGGGTTCAATCCTCAGCACCACATAAATGGAACAAAGACTTAGGCATTTATATTCTTTCCAAAATATTTCCTTGACTGATATTGTTCCTGGTATAAGTGTATACATTATTATCTGCTATTTCAATTAATTGAGTCCTATAAGATAATTACAACTGGTTAAAAATTATGTATGCATATGAAAACAATCAGAATGAAACATGGAATAATGAAAGAATGTTAGAAGAAATTCTACTTAAATTTATTGCCCATTGTTGTTCTAATAATGGTTATATAATAGACAGAAGCTATTTTGAAAATCAGCATTACTACCTTGCATTTGAACCAGGAACTCAGTCTTAATTCTTCGTGCAGCTTCACTTTCATTTTCACTTCTTGAACCACAGAGAGAGTCAATTTCATCAATGAAAATAATAGAAGGCTTGTTCTCTCTGGCAAGCTGGAATAAGTTCTTAACTAGTCTAAAAACAAAAATTTTCAGAATCTAAAAAACTAATATGAGACTAAAGCAAAGCAATACACCAATGCTACAAGAATGCAATAGCTAGATAATTCATTTTACAATTTTTACTAATGCACTTTTTCCGATAATTCTTAATTATGGAATGATGCATTATGGGACTAACTCTTTTTCTGTTGGAGGGGGCACAGGGGATCGAACTCAGGGGTACTCAACCATTAAGCCACATCCCCAACCCTATTTTGTATTTTATTTAGAGACGGGGTCTCACTGAGTTGCTTAGTGCCTCGTTTTTGCTGTGGCTGGCACTGAACTTGCAATCCTCCTGTCTCAGCCTCCCCAGTGGCTGGGATTACAGGCGTGCGCCACCGTGCCCAGCTGACCACTACAGTATGTTGCTTCTCTGAGTATCTACTAATGATATAATTTTACAGATTGATATAGTAACTAAGAGGCAAAGAAAAAACTAAAAAAACTTGATTTACTACTTACTTTTCACTTTCACCTAGCCACTTAGAAACAAGGTCAGAGGAAGATATTGAAAAAAATGTTGAGTTGTTTGCTTCTGTTGCTACAGCTTTGGCTAAATAGGATTTTCCTGTTCCAGGTGGGCCAAATAATAGGATTCCTCTCCAAGGGGTCCTTTTGCCTAAAATTTGATTAGAAAAATAATGTGAGAATTCCAAGACCGTTACTCAGTTACTATAGACAATACTCATACTGAAGAATGATGTGAAAAGGTTTTCACTCTAAACTTGTAAGCATAAAAAGGTATTTTAAAATAAATCAATCTGACGTTAAGTGTGTCCTAAATGCATTTGCTTTTTCTAGAGACTACTTTGTCAAAAGTGTATTTACATTAATATAAACCTAGTAAGAATGTCATTTGATTGCTCATTCATTTGACCAATATGTACTGAAAATCAGCATGTGCAAGACAGACAGAAGGATCTCTACTTATGCAGGCTTCAAGTCTAGTGGGGAAAAGAGTCCGGCTAAAAGTCATTTTCTGACTATCTGCTGTGTGCACTGCTCAGAACCTAGACATTGCAGGATACTGCATCCATAAAGGAAGGGCAGCTGGAAAGAATTTTTTAAAAATATGTATGACCTTTGGAGGAATGAACCTAACAGTTTAGATGATTTCAAAGTTTTGCTGAACTTCTGAATCCATAGGGAAGGGAAGGTAGGTATTATAACTGGTGGTTGGAGAATGATATGGGAGCTCTAATTTTAAATCTAGTTTTGTTACAATGTAACAAGGGAACAAATCAATCTTTATGCCTCAATTTTGCTAATAAGAAATTACAATGCTGCCTAAAGTAAACCAAGCTGTTATAGCTGGCAATAAAATATCAAATATACATTAAAATACTACTAGGTATACAACGTGGATGGACACACAGTGTCTACCAGAATGATGTGTAGATCACCAACAAAATGTAAACATTATTTGGGAGGATGAGGTGGAAGAATAACAAGTTCAAGGCCAGCCTTGACAACTTAGTGACACCCTTTCTCTAAATAAAAAAACATCAATAGGACTAGGAATATAGCACAGCAGTAAGATACCCCTGGGCTCAATCTCAGCATTAAAAACAAAACCCCCTAAATATTATTATCTTTGTTGTTATAAAAAACTTAGTTTTTATTTGAATTCTATTTTCCTTTTTGGTGGTTCTGGGATTAAACCCAGGGGTGCTTTATCATTGAGCTACATCCTCAGCCTTTTTTATTTATTTTGAGACAGGGTCTCACTAAATTATGGAGGCTGGTCTCAAACTTGTGATCTTCCTGCCTCAGACTCCTGAGTTGCTGGAGTTATAGACATGCACCATCATGCCAGGTTTCCTCTTTTCAATATAAGAAAATTAGTCAAGTGTTCCCTGACCACAGCACAAATACCACTGACATCAGATGAAATACTGCACAGTGGTATACAAATACTTTTTAAATATAATTATCTTTTTAATGTGTTAGATACTTTTTTTCATTTATAGTAGACAGAACCGTCTTTAATGTTACTCAGCAAAAGTAAGTAAGGTGATTTAAAGTTCAAATACAGACAAAGTAGTCTATACTGTTAAAAGTCAAGAGAGACTGCTGACCTCTGGAGAGGACAGAAGCAGAGGGCAAACACTGAGCTACTGACAATATAACATTTCTCATGATGGGAACGAGTACATAGGCATACTAACTTTGTGATAATTAAAGAAGCTGAACACTTACGGGTTCCTGCATGTCTCTCTGTATTTATGCCATACTTTAATAAAAAGCTTGTTCTAAAAAGTGAGCAATTTAAAAAAATATTTTAAAAATAATAATGGTACACATACATGGAAAAATTCATGAAGACGATACACAAATGACTCACGTTTGGGCAACACTGGCAAAGTAACATAACAGAAAATGACTTCAACCACATTTTTGTACCTTTATAGCACTATGTTGCCAACTTATACTGTGTGTCTCGTGTTCCTGAAGTTAGGCTGTAAGGTGCACCCCGAAGCTACGTGGACAACGCGAGGCCCACAGGTGCTTTGCTTTCTTCATCACTGCTCTATGCGACTTCACTGTCTGGACCTGTTCAGTTTGAGGCCAACATCACAGATTTGCTTTCTATATAAACCAGCTTGTTTTCAAAAGGAAACACCTCTGCTAGACGTTGGACTGTGGGTGTAGCCATATCATAGACACAGGTCATCAGTCACAAAAGGGATGATCTGAAGGCAAGGTTAGCACAGACAGGGCACTGACTGCCTGAGCCAGAGCTTGAGTTTTCTCCAGATGGTGGCTCAGCAACACTCTGATAATGAACTATCCCTTTGTCCCTAGATGATATGTACTTCACCTGAAGCTGTGAAGTTAATTCTTCACTTTTTAAGAAATGGAAATACTCTTTAAAAACTAAAGCATGACTATTGCAAAAAATTCAGATGAAAGACAAAACAAAATGTAAAATTCATCTATAATTTTACCTCATTAGCAAACATAAAGTCAACCACTTCTTAGCATACCCATTTATTTAATAAACAAGGAACCATACTATATGCATTTTATAACTTGTTTTTTGATCTTATAGATGTAGACATCCTTCAATTAATAGTACAGATTTAAATTTATTAACAGATATACACTATATTCTAGTGAATTGTACTCCACTGAATGTTAGTAATTTGCCTTTTGCCCTATTGATTGATATATAGGTTGTTCTGCTTAAACATAGTTTCATATAAGAAATAAAACATCTTTGTGTATAGATGTATCACTGCTTTATAACTATCAGAATTTAAGATAAAAATTCATGATATGGTGACAAGAATTCACAATGTTTTATACCTTAGTCACTAATGCCTTCTTTTAAAAAAAAATCGCCAGATAAAATTTAATTAAAAGTCATCTCACCTGTAAAAAGATGAGGAAATTTAATCGGCAATATCACAGCCTCTTTAAGTGCTTCTTTTGCTCCTTCAAGACCAGCAACATCACTCCATTTCACATTTGGTCGCTCTATAACAATGGCACCTACAAAATTATGTCATCTTTAAATTAATCTCATCAAAGCTGGAAAATAGCATGAAATAATGTTAAAAGAAATGCATTATATATCTGTCTGGAAAAGTTCTATGTACTAAAAACTATAAAATCATATACTCAATGTCATAAACTAAAAAGAAAAAGATTTAAAATATTATTTCAGGAAAAAAAGAAGAAAAAAGATTCAAAAAAATATTATACTATGAAATTTATCAGCAAACCATTAAATTAAAAGATGGGAAAAAAAACTTCATCTATGAAAGAATGTCATGACTCTTTAAAAATGGACTGAAGACGTAGTAACTGTTGGGAGTAGTCAGCAGGAGTAAGAAAGCTGGGTAAGTGGCTAGATAACCTAGGGTAGGACACTTATCTACTTCTGCTTCCTTATTTGTTGAAATATTACTACCTGCCCAACTTAGGTTAGTGTAACCTAAAATTCTTAGGTTAGTGTAAGAATCAAGTGACAATGAATATTAAGAGTGTTTGGAAAAGCACCAAACACCATATAAAGTGGTTATAATATTTGACTACATTAATTCTGGAGCATCAAGTGTACTTGGTTCAATGGGGATTGATTTACTATTTCTCATGAACCAAAAGAGAAGTGATCTAATGTTCTCTTCAACCACAGAGAGAAAATACACTTAATAACTTTAACTGAAGACAAACAGAAGGGAGAGGGAAAGGAGGACAGAAAGGGATGGAATGGAAGCAGAAGTGGATGATGGAAAAGAGAATGTGTATCTTTATAGATCCACAGTACTTTCCTGAGATTTCACATGTGGCTTCTAAATAGACCTAGTTATAATTTTTGTAAATTAACAAAGTTACTTGAATAGTTTTATTTGCTGAATGCAATATATTCAAAAGCCATAGCAACTGTTGCAGGAAGACTCCAAGAAGACCTTTTAATACAGTTTACTGGCAAATTTTTCTAGTTATCTTTCATCAAAAGCTTTTCCAATTTTCTAGTTTATAGAAATTGCTCAACTCTACACTTTTTACTAAGCAGCCTGCTCTAAGATGACATATAATTGTTTTAAGTATAAGAAAACACTATCACTTACACAATTTACTGGTTAGGGAATTAGTTTCATAAGGCATTTCTGCTTGTTAGAAAATATTAACTATTTATTATTCTAAGACCATTTGGCAACTTACTTTCCTAATTATGAAAATCTTTGTCAGACTAAAACTAAATGAAATCATAAACACTTTTGCATATAAAGCTTCACTTTTTCTTTCATGCTCCACTAAGATTAGTAATTCCACAGAAGAAAATACCTACATCATTTAATAAGATTTTATGTTATACAAAAGCAAATTTACTTTATATATGTGAATCATCTAGCTAACTAAGATTTTGTGCAACTTTAAAAATATGAAAAGCTTACTTTCACATTTAATTAATACCTTTGTCCTCAAAATTTAAAAGTGACTTTAGAAAGTTTACTGATGAAAACTTAAATACTAAGAGTTAATGGTTTGTAAAACTAAAAAGCGGGGGACTGGGTAGCTGGGTAGCTCAGCAGTAGACCGCTTGCCTTGCATGTGTGAGACACTGGATTCAATCCTCAGCCACATAAAAATAAATAAGCAAAATAAAGGTATGTGTCCATCTGCAACTAAAAAAAAAAAAAAACTAAAAAGGGGAGGTGGGATTAATTGAAGAATATAAATAATTGAATGTACCTTATTACATAAATTTATCCAATCTTTGATTATATTATGCATACATCAAAACATTATTCAACCTCAAAAGTCACTAAATATCTAAGTTAGGTAACAAAAATCATAAGCCTGTTTTTAATTCTGACAACCATATATTACACATAATGTCATAATTTAAAGCAGAAATACAAGATTTATTTCAGGAAAAAGAAGATGATTCAGAAAAAGGATATTATACTATAAAATCCCTTACCAAATCATTAAATTAAAATGTGGCAAAAACTTTATACATTATAAATGAAAGGCTGAGGCTCCTTTCTTATTTTATTTCATCCTGACATTCCAAATAAATTTCCTCATTCACATGTTTTAACCATTTGTTTTTTTTTCACATCTCTCATGCTTATAACTGTCAGAGAATTTACAGAAATATCTATTAAAAAGTGGTTACATCTTTTAAAATATTTTTTTAGTTGTAGATGGACACAATATCTTTATTTATTTTTTCATAGTGCTGAGGATCAAACCCAGTGCCTCACATGTGTGAGGCAGGCGCTCTACCACTGAACTACAGCCCCAGCCAAAGGTTACATCTTTTTCAAAACTGAAAATACTATTAGATTTTCTCTTGTGAGGGGCAGGGGGCCAGGGAGTAGAGGGGAAACTAAACCAAAACCAATAAAGCAGACAGAATAAACTGTCTTGCTTTACAACTGAAATAAGGTCACATGTCACAGACCACTGGACAACCTAATAAATGCTAACATGCAGAGTACATAGCACAGCTTCAGGCAGTGGGATGCACAGTGGATTCTCTATCCATAAAGCTGTCCTCATCAACTGTTCTGCTTTCAAGGTACTATCCTAAGTGTTCTCCAACACATCTTGCTGGAATGTGTAAGACAGAAACATGGGCAAAATGGAGATTAGTACAGCAAGGCTAAAATTCTGGTAAGCTAGGTGTATTCACTATTCAATAACCAAGGCTGAGCCAGCATCATGAAAGTCATTCCCTGTCATTTATTCTATTTCAAAAGATTCAAACAAACAAATACATACTACCAACAATTTGGCTTAAAATTAAATTTGAAAAAACCATTAACTAACATATCAAAGAACAATCACATTTTAGCAGTTTAGAAGGCCAACAATTAAATAGATGCCTTTTTACATACACAGTGCTACCATTTATCAAGTCCCTAAATTTTGTCATATAAAATATTATGATGTATTTACGGTCATTTATTTTCCTTCCATGAAAAGAAAATATTATAAATTTCCATTTTAGAGATGGGGACCCTGACTCAGAGGTTAGGAAACTTTCCCACAACTAGAGAGCTTTTAAGTGATCAAGCTTGAGGTGGAATTCAGATCTGAACCCACTCTCTCTCTCCATTATGCCACTGTACTTCACTACAGAATGGAATGAAAGGGCATGTAAAACAGTTAAGAGAGAAATATACAGAGATACATGTAAATAGGATCAATGAAAAGCAGATGAGGAAGAGCAAGTAGGAAACACAAAATAAACCATCTTCAAATCAGTCAAAGAAATGGCAATAAAAACCAATTGTAATTCCTAATTCTTTCTTTTTCTCTGACAATAGCAAAATTTTAATGCCTTCAAATTTTGTAGTGTGCTAATATTATAAATACTATCTTCTCTACAAGGGGGCAAATGAAAAAGAATAAGTTGATTGACAGCCTTTTAAAGGCAGATATCAAAACAAGCAATATTTTTACTCCATGGGAAAAAAAAAAAACTATATCAAACCACTGAGGGCAAACCATATAAAAAACACTTTAAACAAAGCCAACATGTGATAACTGGGAACACTGTTATCACATGTTAAAGACAGTTATTCAATTCTTTATACCTTTTAAATGACAGTTTAACCTCATTTAAATGTAGAGGGAAAGAAAAAAAAAACAATTAAAATACACAATTCACCATGAGTCTTTTCAAGAAGACAGTAAGTTTAATAATAAAATCTAAAGCAACCTTGAAGTTGATTCTGTAGTTTCTTTTTTTCAGGATCATCAGATTCTCCTTCCCCATCACTGTCATTCCTAATAAAAAGAATTTAATACATTCAAATGACCACTCACTTCCATCAAATAATGCAAAAATGAAGGAATAATAACCTGAAATATTTGCAACTTAAATGGCAAAATAAGACATTCACATTTAAAGTTATGTTTATTTTATTACTTTTAATATTATATTAAATAAGAGGCAGGTATATTATCAATTAAGAGGGAGGCATAAACAGGGAAGGAACTAAAAGACCACAATGAAGTCAAGAACTATCTCCAAATTTCCATGATATACTTATGTATGTATGAATTATAAATTCATGCTCCACACATTATTCCACAAAGAATTTAAGATATATTACAGAGAAGGAGTTGCAAATAACAATAAAACATCAGGACCAAGCAAAATATGACTTGGAACAAGAATTCGTTCTAGGGAGAAAAAAACCCAGAATACTAATTATCTAAGGTACAAGATCTATGACCCTTAGTCTAAGAATGAGTGAGGTTTCTTGATGAAAATTAACTGAACCCAAAGAACAATGGGCAACTCAGCAGTTCACATACAGGAATTTAAAATGACTTTTTATCTTATTTTTTTGTACTGGGGATTGAACCCAGGGGTATTTAACTGCAGAACCACATCCCCAGCCCTTTTTATTTTTTTATTTTGAGACAGGGCCTTGCTAATTTGCTAAGGCGGGCTTTGAACCTGTGACCCTCCTGTCAGCCTCCCGAGCTCCTGGGATTATAGGTGTGCTCCACACCTGGTCTGGCAACTTAAATTATAACAATTAGTATATGATAGAACACATTGCAACCTTTAAAAATGATGTTGAAGAAATAGTTTGTCAGAAAGATATTCCTGATACAATGTTGAGTGAAAAAGTCACAAAACAAAAAACAGGGCATTATATATATTTTTTTCAATACTGGGGATTGAACCCAGGGGAATCTACCACTGCACTACATTCCCAACCCTTTTTATTATTTTATTTTAAGACAGGATCTTGCTCTGTTTCCCAGGTTGGTCTCAAACTTGCAATCCTCCTGCCTCGGCCTCCCAAGTAGTTGGTATTACAGGCATGTGCCACCACACTCATCTGGCATTATCACATTTTAAAAAATATAAAGGAAATGAAAATTCTGACAGGTTTTATGCCAAAATGGGATTGCCTTGGTTAGGTAGGGTTATGGGTGAGAAAGGAATGATTCACACAACTCTCACTTCAACCACCCTCATCATGCTTTCTACTGTAAAGGTTGTACTTATTTAAAAAACTGCCCTTTGTAGGCTCCCTTAAGGTAGGGTTCCACATGAGACCCAAGTTCCTCTGAGAAGGTGGAAGTTGCTTCCATGGAGACCAACTCTTCAGACAGAAGCACTGGTTTTACTGAGGAAGTGTGGCAGAGGTCTTACTGTGTGCTTCCAAGCCTTGGCAGCACTTGGCAGGGAACTGGCAGCAGTGGGATCTGAACATGATGTATCTACATACACATGAATTCATAACTACATGTCCTCACATGGCATAATGGGCACCTCTTCTAGTGATATGGCATCTATGCTTTATTCTCAGACTCTCAGATTTCTATAAGGCAATAGCCAGCAACAAATCCCTTTTTGTTTAAATTAGCCAAAGTGAGTCCTGCTGTTTATTATAGGATAAAAACTGGCATCCCTCAATAACCAGTACAGGAGAGATGATTACAGGGTCTTCAAACAAGACTGGAAGAACCTCAATAGACAGAGGAAGACACAATATTTCTGTCGGCAAGAGAGTCTCAGTGAGAGTTGGAGGCTCTGGGCACTGAATTTTTCCCAGTATTTTAATTTTAAGTTGGAGTTCCTGCCTTACATTAATGTTCATTCACGTAAGAAACACCAAGTAATTCCCAAAATGAAACCATGATCTGAGTTTTGTTATGTTAATACTGTGGATGCAGAAGATAAAATATTCTCCGGTGTCACAGAAAATTCCTGCCCTGGTTCCCTAACCATGTCTTCAACAGAATATAAAACTTTAAACCTCCTGCTATGGAGTTTGAAACAGCCAATCAGGTTTAGTTCTTATATCCTCATGTTCTTCAAAATGGTCTACATTAGAAGCCACAAAGTCTCTAAAGCACTGTTACTTTCATTCCTTGTAACTGCAGGGATTATCTAGGGACCCGTGCCACTACGAATACCAACTGTATGATATCCTCTAAAGCTCACCAAAATCTTGCTGCTTTCACCCCAACCAGTCCCAATCATCCCAGCAAAGAGCATTCTTCTCCTAAGAGTGTGTCACCTAGAACCACTTCTGGCACCAATCAGCAAAATAGTCAAAGAGGATCTGGTTAGAAAATGTTCCACCTGCTTAGCACAGAGCTAGGCATTCATATATTACATGTCAAATAAATAAATTCTGTCTCTATAAGTGATGTATTTCCTATCTAGGAAGACATTCCAAAAATGGGTTTCAAAGTTTATAAATTATATAATTTATACATGGATTTTAATTTATAATTTTGTAATTTATAAAATGGGTTGTAACTTATAATTAGTTTCAATTTTATAAATTATGCTATTGTTTGTTTTCACAATGACAAATTTAATAGAAATTTAAGCAAATACAATGCAAATTCACATCAAAAAACTTTGCCTAAGATATCCAAACAATTATTTATATTACTGAAGTTATCTTTCTTTTTGTCTACATGGTTAAAGATTTAACTCACACATCACTCCTATAACTTTAACGCTTAATATTTACATGATGGTCAGAGGGTATTCCAGGCCATTCCATGCCATTTTTACAAATGTCTTCCCCTATCACTAGCAAGTGGTCATGGAGGGTCACCTTAGGTGATGTATCATCACTTAAACCAGGGGCCAGGAAACATTTGTCTCTGAAGGACCAAACAGTAAATATCCCAGGTTTTGCAGCCACACAGTCTCTATTGCAAAAACTCCACTCTGTTTTTACAGTATCAGAGCAGCCTTGGAGGACAACATGTAAAGCAATGGGCGAGGCTGTGTCCCAACAAAACTTTTACTGAAACAGGCAACAAAAGAAATGTATTTCATAGAGGAAAAGTTAAAAGACATAGTGGAATCCAACACTCTGAAATACATACCCCTTCTCATCAGCTGGACTTGGCTGTCCCTCTTTTACTGGCTTCTGTGGTTTTTTCTCCTTCTTCTTCAGATATTCCTTCAGTTTCTCTGCTCTATCAAGATATTCTGTACACTTTGCCCTAATACTCTGCTTGGCTTTATCACCCTGTGCTTCATCTGTTGAAGGGAATGAGATTTTCATTAGTATTCTGTACAGAAATATTTTAAAACTCTTAAGACATATTTCTTTAAACAAAGGAATTCTACATTGGGGGAGAGGGAAAAGATCATTTCTAACTCACTGTTAATCAATGATTATCAATTCTTTTCTATTTTTTCCCCCAAAGGGTTGGAGACAAACAATGAATTTGATACAAAAAAGAACTGAGCAAGACAACAGGTATTTTAAGTTAAGAAATAAGAAATTATTTGATATTATATAGGTTACATTTTGAAAATAGTTAAAGCTGCTTGTCTCACACAAAAACCAATTGTAAGAAAAACAATGTGAATGTAGAACAGCAGTTAGAGGTTGGGGGTATGTGGATAAAGGGGTGGTTAAATTTGATCAGTGCATACTGTTATGTGTGTATTAAAGTATCACAATGAACCCCAGTAGAGGTGTAATTTATTCATGTTGGGCTAGGGATACAGCTCACTAGGTAGAGTGCTTGCCTCACATGCACAAGGCACTGGGTTCAATCTCTAGCACCACACACACACAAAAAATTCATTCATGTTAATAAAAAATAAAAGATAAACAGAAGTGAAGCAGTATTAGCCATTTCCATTAATGTCTATGTAAGTTTTATTTCAAAGAGTATACAAAGTGATGGAAATTTCATATATTATATGTACCAACAACATAGTAATTTTACTACATAACAGAATGTCAGGGCTATTTTCAAAAGTCTACTTCAGCAATACATGTGATACAAGGAATTGCCCCCATACAGCTTGCGTGCTATATTCTTAGTTTCACTTTAATTGGGCATAAGCCCTCTTGATTAAATGGGGAAGCTCAAAAGACAACCCTGATGTATACAACTGCATTAGGTGTAAGATCCATAAGAGCAGTGTTTTTTTTTTTTTTTAAAGATCTTTTTTGATATGGACACAATATCTTTATTTATTTTCATGTGGTGCTGAGGATCAAATCCAGTGCCTCACATGTGCAAGGCAAGCGCTCTGCCGCTAAGCTACAACCCCAGCCCCTGAGCAGTGGTTTTTATCCACTTTTCTCTCATCATTGTATCTCTTGTGCCCAGAAGAATGCTTGGCACATGATCAACGTGCAATACGAGGTTGTTAAATAAATGAATAAAATGTCTCCCAATCTCTTTTAAAAACAATTATTTCCAAGCATATGCTTACAGAGTAAGTTCAGATTATATATAATTTGGGCATACTATAATTAAAATAAAAAGCTGTTTCCATTGAATATGGACATTTTAAGATGTCTGCGAAAACAAAATTAAAAACTATGATAGCTGTTACTTTTGTTAGTTAAGTCTGAGTGCTTAATAGTTACTAGAAAGAAAGTGGAATTTGTTTGGGGAGGGCAAATGCATGGTTCAAAATTTTCTGGTTTGTATTTCAATTTTTATAAATGAAATAGAGTAATTTTTTCCTTTGCATGTTTTTAAATAAAAAATAACTTTTAACTTACATTTAATTACATGGAGAAAATACTGTACAGCATGTTGATAGAGTTGAAGGGCTTCCTCGTAATTCCCAGCTTTGTCTTCTTGTGCTGCTTTGCTAGCAAGATCTATTGCTTTCTGTTTGAGATGAAAAATAATAACATCAAACATAAATATAAGTTTGAAGTTAATAATTTTGATATATTATTATTATTTTTGGTGGTGTCAAAATACCAAGGCCTTTCATATGTTAGGCAAGCAATCTACTACTGAGTTACATCTTTGCCTAATTTTTAAAATTTATTAATTAATTTATTTATCTGTTGTTTTTAGATAATCATGACAGTAGAGTTATTTTGACATTTATACATATATGGGGTACAACACCTTACAGTTTTGATCCCACTGTGGTTGAATATGATATAGAGTTACACTGGATGTATACTCATATATGAGTATAGGAAAGTTATGTCCGATTCATTCTGTCTTTCCTATTCCTGTCCCCTCTCCCTTCCTTTCATGTCCTTGTTATGGGTTAGCATCCACATGAGAACATTTGATCTTTGTTTTTTTGGGATTTACTTATTTCGCTTAGCATGACATTCTCTAGTTGTATCCACTTACTGGTAAATGCCATAATTTCATTCTTCTTTGAGTAATATTTCATTGTATATATGTACCACATTTTCTTTATCCATTCATCTGCTGAAGGGCACCTATGTTGGTTCACAGTTCACAGTTTGGCTATTGTGAACTGAGTTGCTATAAACATTGATGTGGCTGCCTCACTATAGTATGCTGATTTGGGTATATGCTGGGGAGTGGGATAACTGCAGCAAACGGTGGTTCCATTCCAAGTTTTCTGAGGAATCACCATACTGCTTTCCAAAATGGTGGCACCTATTTGCAGTCCCACCAGCAATGTATGCATGAACCTTTTTCCCTACATCTTTGCCAACATTTATTGTTGCTTGTATTCTTGATAATTGCCATTCTGACTGGAGTGAAATGGAATCTCAGTATAGTTTTAATTTGCATTTCTCTAATGTTGAACATTTTTTCATATATTTTTTGACCATTTGTATTTCTTCTTCTGTGAAGTATCTGTTCAGTTTCTTATCCCATTTACTGAATGCATTATTTGTTTTTTTTGGTGTTAAAGTTTTTTGAGTTCTTTATATATCCTAGAGACGAGTGCTCTATCTAAGGTGCAAGTGGTAAATATTTTCTCCCATTCTATAGGCTCTCTGTACATATTCTTTTTTTTTTAAATCTTATTTTTTAGTTGTAATTGGACACAATACCTTTATTCATTTATTTTTATGTGGTGCTGAGGATCGAACCCAGGGTCTTCAACGTGCGAGGCGAGTGCTCTACTGCTGAGCCACAACACCAGCCCTCTCTGTACATATTCTTGATTGTTTCCTTTGCTTTTCAGTTTGATGCCATCCCATTTACTGATTCTTGATTTTAATTCTTGCGCTTTAGGAGTCTTATTGAGGAAGTCTGTTCCTGAGCCAATATGATAGAGTTGGGCCTACTTTTTCTTCTAGTAGGTGCAGGGTCTCTGTTCTAGTGACTAAGTCTTTGATTCACTTTGAGTTTTGTGCAGGGTGAGTTACAGGGCTTTAATTTCAATCTACTATATATGGATTTCCAGTATTCCTAGCATTGTTTGTTGAAAAGGCTATCTTTTCTCCAATGTATGTTTATAGTGCCTTTGTCTAGTTATGAGATAACTGTATTTATGTGGATAGCCTGTGTGTCTTTTATTCTGTTCTATGAGTCTTCTATTTTTGTGCCAATACCATGCTGTTTTTGTTACTATAGCTCTGCAGTATAATTTAAAGTCTGGTATTATGATGCCTTCTGCATTACTTTTCTTGTTAAGGATTGCTTTGACAATTCTGGGCCTCTTATTTTTCCAAATAAACTTCATGACTGCTTTTTCCATTTCTAAAAAATCTCTTTAAGGAAATTCTTAAAAATTAAGTGCCACCATTTAGAGCATACAGAAACAGTAGAAATTTAATTGGCTAAAACCCCTTCAGAAGTAACTGTGCAATGAAATATCAAGAATCTAAAAAAATACCCAAAGCTTTTAACCCAGTACTGAACCTAAACATTTACCGGGCAAAGACATTAAACATAAAGAGTTCTTAAAAAAAAAAAAAATGTGGAAACTTAAATTTTTAACAGCAAAAGGATGCCACACAGCAATTTAGTGAAGCCCTAAGTAACATACACAGAATACTAAAGGATTATTAAGAGCATTAAATGAAGAAACATCTGTAATATCATGGCAAGTGTTTCTGATGGATGTTTTAAAAAGCGGGACACAAACTTTTTATATGCAGTAAAAGTTCAGTTATGTGGAACAGCAGCAAAAAATAAAATGACAAAGGAAAAAGATGGGAAAAATTTAACAGAGCTTATTTTTGATGAGTAAGACTTTATGGATTTTTCATTTTCTACTTTTCCACATCATCTAAAACATCCATTATGAACATGAACTACCTTTATAATATTAAATTTTTAAAAAACCCTATGAGAAATAGATCTGTATAAATGTATCCAAGTGAATCTTGAAAATGATACAAAAGTCAATGACAGAATGACAGGCTTTTAGTTTCTCTCATTGGGGACCAAACCCAGGGGCTGCCACAGCTAGGCAAATGTTCTACTATCAGCACAGGCTTTTAAAGAAAAGGTGATGGAGCAAATGGACACCCATAAGGGGTGGGGAGAAGCTTTGACTTCAACCTATCACTTTCTAACTTTCTACAAAAATTAACTCAAAAGACATCATAGACTTAAGATATAAAACATGAAATCATAAAACTTTTAGGAAAAACACAGATAGCCATCAGGGTCTAGGGTTAGGTGAGTGCTTCTTGGATTTGATATCAAAAGTACAATGTACAGAAGGAAAGATAATAAACTGGACCTTGTCAAACAAACACTTTTGTTTTCTAATCGACACTGCTAAAAGGATGAAAAGATAAGCTACAGACTGAGAGAAACATTTGCAAAACATCTGATAAGGGACTAGTATATAGACTACCTTAAGGACTCTGAAAAAAAAAAAAACAGTTAAGAAAGGATCCAATCAGAAAATGGGCAAAAGACATGAACAGACATTTCACCAAAGAGAGTATTATGGCAAATAACTACATGAAAATATGCTTAACTTTATTAACAAGTTCAGAAATGCAAATTCAAGCCTTAATGAAACATAATTATACATGTTGGAATAACTAAAATAAAGCCAGGCACTATGGCACATGTCTATAATCCCAGCAGCTTGGGAGGCTGATGCAGGAGGACTGTGAGTTCAAACCCAGCCTCAGCAATTTAGTGAGGTCCTAAGTAACTCAGTTAGACCCTGTCTCTAAATAAATACAAAAAATAGCTGGAAATGTGGCTCAGTGGTTAAGTGGCCCTGATTTCAATCCCTGGTACCAAAAGAAAAAAAAAGAAAAAGAAAGAAAGTAGCTAAGATATGGGGCTGGGGATGTGGCTCAAGTGGTAGCGTGCTCGTCTGGCATGCATGCGGCCCGGGTTCGATCCTCAGCACCACATACCAACAAAGATGTGGTGTCTGCCGATAACTAAAAAAATAAATAAATATTAAAAAAAATAGTAACACTGGTGAAGATGCAGATAACTGGATCACCACTCATACTTTGCTGGGGGATATAAAGTGGTACAGCCATTCTGGGAAATTGGTTGTTTCTATTCGGTCTACAACAAACTAAAAATGTGGGCAGCTGAGCAAAGTGAAACAATTTCCAAAGTGCCCCTGGGCAATCAGGTACCCCTAGGGTTTCTGCTCAAAGGAATTTTTACTTTTACTCCCTAGAGCCTGAGAGGGTGTGGTCTTGCCAATTCCTAGGATGCCCATTGTCTCTGCTTAAAGTATTTAACATTTCTTTAGTGTCTGTATTATCCACTTTTACTCATACTTTTCTGGCCAAACTGCAAGTTTTTCAAGTCTTTCTGCTCTGCTTTCCACTCCTGATTATCACAGTAAACTTGGCTAAAACCCACCAGCAAAATCTGTGCCACTGCCTGAATGGTGTGCTGAATAGAAATTTTTTCTGCCTAATTTATTAGTCCATCACCTTTGAATTCAGCCTTATAGAAAGTCTCAGAACAAGGGAAAAATCTAGACAATTTCTTTGCTACAATGTAACAACAACAACAACAAAAACCACTAAAAATGCAACTACCATATGAAAAAGGGCTCTTGGGTCTTTATCCCAGAGAAACTGAGATTTATGTCCACAAAAAAACCTGTACATGAACACTCTAGATGTCCTCCAACGGTTTCATTCATGATTAAACAAACCATGGTGGATCAATATCATGAAGTACTACTAGGACTACTGTTACACCCAGCTTAGATGAATCTTGAGGAAATCATGCTGACTAAAAAACACCAATCCCAAAAGATTGCATGCTATGATTCCATTTATATAAACCTCTCAAAAAATGGCAAAATTAGAGACTGGGAACAGGTTAAATGGTCAGGTGTTAAGGTTTAGACATGCAATGTCTCTCTAAGCTCCTGTGCTAATGCAAAATGTTCAGAGGTGAAATTATTAGATTATGAGAGCTGTGACCTCATCAGTCCATCCAAGTTTCAATGGATTAATTGGGTGGTAATAAGTAGGGCATAGCCAGAGCAGTAGATGGGTCACTAGGGGCATCCCCTGGAAAGGTTCACTGCCCCTGGATGGGAAATAGAGGGGATTAAGTGTCCCCTCTTTCTCTGCTTCCTGGCTGTCATGAATGGAGCAGCACTCCTCCACTACACCCTTCCACCATGATCTGCCTTAGCTTCGCTCAGACCCATGGACTAGGTCAACCATGGGTTAAACCTCTGGAACCATGAGCCAAAATAAACTTTTCCTTCTCTAAGTTGTTTTTGTTGGGTATTTTGATCACAGCTACAAAAATTGACTAACATCAGAGAACAGGGATGCTGGGTGGGAGAAAAGAGACGATGGTGGTCATAGAAGAGCAACATGATGGATCCTTATAGATGGAACTTTTCTCTATCTCAACTGTGGTGGATACATAAACCCACAATGTAACAAAAGTGCACACAAATACATACAAATACTAGTCCAAGT